AGAATGGGAAGGGTAAAAGAGAGGTAACTCGTGGGTTGAGATAAAGACTGTTTAAAAGGTAAAGCAAAAGCCTTGCATCCAAGCAAAGCAAAACAAGGAATTCATTCCCTGCTTCCCCTGGGCAGGCAGTTGAGCCATCCCCAGAAGCCCAGGATTCTGTCACATGGAACAATGGGAAGACAAAATCCCATCACTCCAGACTCTCCCCCTTTCCTTCATCTTCCCCAGCTTTATATGCTGAGCATGAGGCCATATGGTCTGGGTTATCCCTTGAGTCAGCTGGGGTTAACTGTCCTACCTATGTCCCCTCCCAAATCCTTGTGTACCCACAGCCCACTTGCTGGTGGGGTGAGGTGAGGAGCAGAAAATGCCTTGACTCTGTGTAAGCCCTGCTAAGTGACAACAAAAACATCCATGAATTATCAACGCTGTTTCCCCCACAACTGTAAAACACAGCCCCATACGAGCTACATTGAAGAAAATTAACTTTATTCTAGTCAAACCCAGCACACCAAGATGATGGAGACTCAGGTTTTCATTCAGCAAGGAGCCCTGTAGGATGGTTTTCTGTCATTCTTCTTGGAGGAGCTCTTTGGCTTTTACAGCTGTTTAAATGTCAAGTTTAATTGTTCCCCTTATCCAAAACGAGTGCTGTGTGTGATGGGCTGCAGGGTCACTCCTTTAGGGTGTTTGGAGTGTGGAGTGTGTATGGCAATCAGGACTGAGCTGGAGGACAGATGACAGGTGGTGCATTGGTCTTTCTCCTTAGAAACAGGGCTGTGCTTCTGTTCTTTTTCCCCAATGAATAAATCATTTTGCAGAGTTGAGCAGCTTCAGCAGGAGAAGCTGGAAGGGCCACTCTCCTCACTGTGCTGGTTTCATGGTTGGGGCACTCTCCTTGAATGGACTTTGTTTCCCACTCCTGTGCAAAGCAAAGATGGGAATGGCTTACTCCTCACATTCAGCCTAGTTTGTGCTCCGTGCCAGCTGTCCAAAGGGACAAGCAGCTGAGAACAGGCAGATCATGGAGAAGCTCAGTGTGATCCTTTACCCTTTTCATTTGGTTTTCTTCAGTTTTGTTTCCTAGACTACAGCAGCAACCCCCACATGAAAAGCTGCTATTCTTCATTCACAACAAAGCCATCTCCAAATGGATTTCATAGCAGCAAACACTATTTGGCCAGTGTGGTGAGTGTAAGGCGCTGTTACGTCAGCTTGGCAGATGTGTTACACAGCTGCTGTCTGCAGATGCTGAGGGCTTGCAAAGTTTGGAAAAGGAAAGAAAACAATAGGTGCTAAAGACTGAAGCACTTCAGAGTTTAATTGAGTGTTACAAGAGGAATTTGGACTCAGACAGTAGCTGTCTTCTCTCTGAATGTCACTACAGACCTCCACTGTGCATGAAAGTCCCCCCGTGCTTGAATCGCCTGGAAAGGGGAGATCACTGACAATGGGCATCATTCTCACAGCTGCAGTCTGTGCAATGGCCTCGAGACACAGCCCTGTGGAGGGGGCACAGCCAAATGCTCTGGACTGTGTAAACCAGGGGATGGGGACAGGACAGATTCAGCAGGGCTCTTTGCTGAGCCACATTAGTTGTTCTCAGTGGGGTAGAAAGCTTTGAATTTCCCCTTTGTCTTTTCCCTGCTTGGCCTCATACGTTCTCCAAAACTGTGCGTCATGGCAACGATCTCCCTGCAGGAGAGTCTCTGAATGTAATAATTGCAGCAGCATTTTATAAATGCCCAATTTAGAACCTAATAAAAATGATACTACACTGTTATGACAATTTACCCATCCAGATGCTGCTGTTTTTTAGTAAAACCTGAGGCCATACCAGCTGTGTGGGGACAGCAGTGCAGTTTATGTACTCTTGGATGCTAAAACATGGGGAGTTCAGGCTTGATTTTGTAATAGCTGATGATCACAAAGCCTCTTTTTGGCTTTGAAAGAAACAACTGGACTTTCATGAACCCTTAACTTCCTCTGCCTTGTGCCAAGTGGCATGCAGGCTGGCTGTGCTGTTCATAGCCAGTACTGGGCAGTACCCTGGGGTCTTTTCTGTACTGTCCCAAGAGCGTCTTTTAAAGAAGAAATACCCAGTTTTCTCAAGAACATCAACTGAAGCCTTGTTTGAGAGGTGGATATCTTTGGTGTCTCACTGGCTTTGACTGCTGTTTTTCCAGAGATTATTATTTGAGGACAAAGGTCATGCTTCTCTACAGGATTTATTTCAGCATCCAACTGATGTGCCTGAGGCACAGCAACACGCTTGTGAATTTGATGCCAGGACTTGATTTTCCCTAATATTTGCCCAGGAGGTTGAGTTCAGTGGCCAACACAGAGCGAGTGCCAAGGATGAGTTGGCCAAGGAGTGGCTCCAATCAGACCACAATCAGGCTGTTGTTGTACCTTGACCTTGCCAAAGGGCAGACATCCTGCTCCTCTGTCACTGTTAGATTATTCTACCCCACAGGAGATGGGGAGGGATGGTAATGGAATTGCTCCATCTTCAGTGCCTGCAGTAAAGTACTTCCACCTACTTATTCCTTGAATAAGTTATTTTGTTCAACTTGGCACTCCTCAGAAGGACCTGATTTTCTGCAGGTACTGAGTGCCTTCTTCCAAAACTGTCATCCCTTGGGAGGCAAGATACTTAAAGTCATAAGGGGGTAAGGAATCTGGGTGTCCACCTCTGTGCCAAAGTCAAGGATGAAACATTCAGTGGAATAAAATGTTAGGGAACAAGTAAACCATGAGTCCTGAGCATGGTGGGAAATGTTTTCCTATGATGCTTTGTACCTCAAACCCCAAAATGTCAGGTCCACTTGCCATTGTGACCCCAATGTTGTGCTTAGCTGTCAGGCTGTGGGGTTGGGGCCACCTGAGCCCACCTACTGCAGGTCCTACTGCAGCCCCTAGTACAGGTAGGATTAAAACATCCATTTTTTTTGCAGTTTCCATGACAATCATAGGGAAATTGTAGGTAAGAGAGATGTGAAAGAAGCAGCATGAGACTCTGGGAGTAGATCATGCATTTTTGAGATTATATTTCTTTTCTGGAAAGCAAAGTTTGAAAACATCTGTGCAAAAATGCTCATTTTTTTCCCCCAACCATGGTTACTCCAGTGTAGTTGAAGGCTGCAGATTTTTGTGTTCTCAGTGAGAAAATATAATGTGAAACTTTTTTATTAAGTGATATTTTTACCATGAAAAGGTTAATCCCCTTTCCCCAGCCTGTTTCCTGATCAGCTCTCAATTAACTGACATGTCCCTCCCATGTCAGTGCAGAACCAAAACAAAAGCTGCACTTACTGTCAACCTGGAGCTGTGTTTGCTTTTACTGTCGAGCACTTGAGTCACTTGTGGGAGTTACAGCACGTGGCAAAACTGTGCCTGGCTTTGCTGGTGGCTGCATTTCCGGGAAAGCCAGGGGTAGGCAGGGCGAGCTTTGGGGACAGGCTTCAGCCTGACCGTGAACACAGACAGCCTGCTGAGCAGCCCCACACTGATTTCAGTCAAATATATGTGCTCAGTATGGGCTTTTGTCTTGTATTTCCAAAGACCCACATGTTTAATACTTCATGTGTTGGAGTTATTAAGTGTGAATTTTATCAGTATGAAACTGTTGACCTGGTAAAAAAGTCAACGAATAGAGAAGAAATCTCTTGCCGCTGCTTGTCCTCAAGTTGGGTGAAGCAGTTGAATGGGAGACAAATATTTGAAATATCTTTGCAAGGCAAACTTCTTTCTCACCAAGACCGATTCTAGGGCCTGTTAAAATCAAGAATGTTTCTGTAGATGCCAGTGGGACTGAGGCTTGATCCTTAACAAACAAAAACTGCATTTTTATCTACAAGAGGAAAACCAGCAGCAGGTGCATAGAAGGGCAGAAAACAGCCCATGGCTGGTGGGACTTGTGGGAGGCAGAGTACCCCCCAGCTCCTGCACATCTGGGCTGCTGTGCTGCAGCACCATACAGCCCAGTAAAGGCCTGAAAAATCTTTACATAAAGTAAAAGTGACCAGAAAGCTTTTGGGAAATGGGAAATAGAATAAATATTGATTATTCTGGAGTATGCTGAAGTATGCAGCCTGTCTGATTTAAAACAGCCAGAAGATTATTCCCTAGGACCAACTCTGTGAAATAATCAGTGTTTAAAATTTCATTATCAGAAAGCCCAAGGATTTTAATCTGTATAGATGTGCTTTAAAACATTTATTTGCGGTAACAAGGATGTTTAATTTTTGGCTATCATTCCATATATAGATAATCCAGAAAAATGTCTACTAACTATAAGCTTCTCGTGTGTTTAGTTAGTCTGGTCTTTGTTTCCTTCTCCCAGGGAAAGGCTAAGTTGTCTATGTTGTTCCGATGTGCTTCATTGACACTGAAATGATCACGGTGCTAAATATGGTATTAAAACAGCCTCTCCCATTATTTAATTAAAAAGAAATCTAATAACTGAACATAAAAACAACAGCCTCTCCAGTGCCTATGGCTCAGTGCCAGGTGAACACATGATTTCAGAAGCTTATTTGTTCAAAATTAAAGACTGTAACAGTCTAAAAGCCCAACCTTTTTCCCAGTGCAGCAGCCTTGGACGCTGCTGCTCCCAGCAGAAACCTCAGCCCATTGCACTGACAAGGCTAGGAAGCACTGGGAGACTTCGTAAAATAGGAGAATAAAATTACTAACTCCCAAATTTACATTGGATGTGACCCTTTGAGGGTTGAGGGGAGAGCACTCAAGTTCATGGGCACTGCTCCCATGGTACATTTACTGGAATACATTTGTTACTCACACGTGGCATTTGGCCTGTTACTGTTATTAGAAACATTGCTTTCTGTAAGATCCATGTATCCTTTGTTACAAAATTTCATGTATAATTTAGGGAAGCTGCATTTGGTTCAAGTTCCACCTTTGGATTAGCACATTGATAAATAGGTTTGTTTTGAATTTGTGCTTTCTTTTTGACTGCTGCTTTTCCCTTTTTCCAGAAACCACAATACCCTTCTGTGCAAAGGACATCAGTGATGATCTGATGAAAGAATTTGCTTTTCTGTCTGGTGAGTACTGAGAACTTCTCCAGGGTCTCTCTCGCTCTCATCTGTGTGGTAATTAAATACTCCAGACAAACTTCTGCACTATTTGGCAAAATGATACTCCACAAGGAATATTACCCATCAGGTAGTATCCAGTGCCACTAGAAATGTTGTTAATAAAACATTGAAGCAGTTTGAAAGAGTAGATTAGGTTTCTGTCTCGTGCTATACTGTAAAAGTAGTCTTATCTTCCCACACTCAATGCATTAACAAGTGCTTTGCTCTGAAATGTATTTCCATACATGTGTGCTGTTTTGTCTTTGTATTTCTGACTTCTTTTGCTATCCCATATAAAGTATGCTCAGTAAATAAAGGAAATATCTGGTAACTAATACTTTTGTTTCTACCACCTGCCTGTGTGTGTTGTGCTTGGATTGGGTTGTGCTATTTTGGTGGTGTAAAAAAAACCTCTGTAACAATGGAAGCAGGTTTTCTGATGTGACTGGTGGACCTGGTCTTTGCTGTTGGCCCTCCTTGAAAGCACAGCCTGGGAGACATCCTTGTTTTTATTCCAGGTGGCCGAGGGAAGGACAAGGCTTGGATTATCACCCTCCCCGACAACGCTCGCTTCAACGAGGTGCCCGAGGAGATTGTGTCTAAAGTCTTAACATACCTAACGTCAATCCCAAGGTAGGAGGCTGTCTTCTAGCTCTTGCCTATGATGGGCAGAGTGTGAGTCCTGCCTAGGTCAGGCAGGGGAACTCAGGGTAATGCCATATGTGGGGTTGAGGGGCATCTTCAGCTCTCAGAGCAAGGAAGAGGGAAAAGCTGAATGATGCAAGCCCTTACGGTGTCCAAGTGTGGTCCTTAAGGTGCCAGTAACTGCAGAGTAAGAAGTGGACATCATCCCTCTGACCTGTCAGCTGGAATGTTTAGTTTATTTAGTTTATTAAGTTTGTAATTAACAGCAAGCTTTCCTCAAGCTTTGGCATGGGTCACCACTTAAAATATGCCATGCCAGTGCAAAGTAATATTTTGACATGTACAAATAGAGAGTCATTACTGTGGAAAAAGAGAAATGGAGCCAGAGCAAGAGACTAATTACAGGAACAAACCATTTGGGGTCCCCGTGACAGGCGATGGCTGAGTAGCTCCCATTATCTGCCTATGTCTTGGGGTTAAGCTGCTGACAGTCTGCCTGTGCCTCATACAGGGCTGCATACTTAGATTAATGGCCCTCCTATTTCTTGCTGCTGAGCCTGGTGACTCAGTTACTTGGAATGCTTAATTTTCTTGAATAATGCCTGTTTTGGCAAATTTCTTCCTTCAGGGAGAGCAGGTTGACAGCAGCTAGATGGGAGCTTTCCATCAGTGGCTGCCTTAGAAGAACTATAGAGCTTTTGCTGACTTCTGTGTGGAAAAAAAAAGAGCATCTGTTTTCTCTGTCCTCTTTTTGATGGACTCTGAGGTTTTATGGGCTCCTGGCCTGTGGAACACTCTCCCAGCAGGACAGGACCCTGCTGTGGTATGTGACAGCCAAAGGGGTTTCTCCTTCATCCTGTGCAGGCAGCCTGTGTCTGTGCATCTGCACTTCCCAGCTCTGCCTGGTTTCTCCAGGGCTTCTTATTCCATATGACTGTAAACACCCTGGCATTAGCATGATGAGCAGTCTTGCTGTCCCTGTAATAAGTCAAACTCAATCAAGAAACTAATGAGAGCTGTGAGCTTGCTGGTGATTCAAGCATGTTCAGCATGTTTTAGTAAAATCACTTTAATCATCCTTCTCTGCTCCTCCTACCACCATAACAGCCTGACCCAATAAACACATCTAAACACCTGTGCTTCTTAGCCCTTTGGAGCCAAAAAGGCTGTGGTGTTGGAAAGCAAGGAAAAACACCACCTAGGTGAGGGTGGTAGGTGTGTGTCAGCTCTGGTACCCCTGTGTACACATCTCTCAGCTGCATCACATCACGGGACCAGAGCTTAGACTTTGGCCCAGGAAGTCCCTAAAATAGATAAATATTTGACCTGTGTGTCAGAGTTAGCTGTGGGTACACCAACACCTCCTTACCACATACCTGTAGATGTTTAGGGGCATCTCAAACCCACACACACTGTGCCTTTCCCATGCAAGCAGTAGCAAAGACTGCATAGCATCCCACTGATACTAGTCTGAGTAAGCCTCATAGGATGTCAGGTTTGTAGTACTTTGGGAAGCTGAATTTCATAAGGCCTTTTTCTCCTGGAAATAATTGTTAGATAAAGGAGTGAAGCTACTCTTCATTCCTCAGGGTAAGAGAATTAATAACAGAGCCAGGAGGGAAGGTGAGTCCTGTAGGCAAGGTAATTTTTAGGATTCCTGGCAAGCATGCTGCAGGCAAGGAGGCAGCTGCAGAAAGTGCTTGAGTGAAAGAGCTGTAAAGGAAAATAAGTAGTAGGTCCCCACCTTCCATGGCCTGCACATCCAACTCAAAATACCTCCCTGCCTGTCTTCAGGCTGTGCTTGAAGGAGAGGCACAGGTAATTGTGACAGATCCTGGCATCTGTAGAAAGGAGACCCTGGGAGTGATAAAGCACTTTATCCAGGCTTGGACTGAAGACTGCTATAGAGTGGTCTTTACAAGAAATACAACTGTTTTCTCTAGCCTGAAAGAATTCATCTCTTCCAAGGTAAGACAGAAGATTAAAGAAAAAAATAAAAATGAGTTGAAGTCAGTTATGATATATGTAAGATTGTTATTACAAAAAACCCTGTCCTAATTACCATTAAAGAAAAATAATACTGTCGCTGAAAAGTAAAAAAATCCCTTTATATATAGTGTTGGCTGTGTGCCTTTCTTCACCAAGAGGATGGCCAAACACTGGAACAGGCTTCCTAGTGATGTGATCAATACCCCAAGCTGCCAGTGTTTAAGAGGCATTTGGACAATGCCCTTAACAACACTCTCTAACTTTTGGTCAGCCTGAATTGGTCAGGCAGGTGAACTAGATGATCATGTAGGTCTCTTCCTACTGAAATACTCTATTCTATTCTTTGACTACCCAGCTTTTTGGTATTTAGACAAGCTCTGCATGTTTCACTTAGCTTGGGAAGTGAGGTGCAAAGTGGTTTAAAGCTGTGACTGATAACACGGAGCAGTGGCACAGTGAAGCGTGCTGTTGGCTATAAATACCTCTGAATTTAAATATTAGACAGGTCGTGATGGTGTGCCCTGATCCCACCAGCGGCAAAGAGTCTCTCAGTCCTGTGCTAAATCTCACAACTGCAGACTCTGGGATCCAATTTCAAGTCCTCCTGCAAAACATCCCAGGTCTTTATTTTTAGTCTGGTGCATCCTGCAACGCATAAAAGATAATTTAAAAAAAAACAACAACAACAAAAAAAAAACAAAACAAAAAAAACCAAACAAAAAACGAAAACAAAAACCCAAACAAAGAAACAAAACTAAACAAACAGCAAAAAAACCAAACAAAAAACAGAGAGAAATAATCCTTGTCCTGGTTATCTGTCTCCATCTTTCTGCTGCTGGATGCAAATGAACACCCCTCGCAGCTTCGGTAGATAGCACTGATTTATTTTATTTTGTCAGTCTAAAAGGTATATTGCAGGCCTGGAAATCTGATAAACCTGCAAGGCCTGGGTTGCAAATAGTCACAGACTTGCTCCACTGGCCCCAGAATAAATTTAAGATTTCCCACAGTAGGTTCCAAGGCTGTTGGACTGCTGGGAACTTTCTTCTTTGTTTCTATAAGGGAACTGATAAACTTAAATTAGCATGCTCAGAGGCTCCTCTCTGAATATAACCTTGCCCTGAGTAAGCAGGTTACTTTGGCATATTTTTATTAACTGGCAGTGCACTACAGTCTGGCGGCCTTTTCCAAATTAGTTGGATTCTGGGTTTTTTCTTCAGGTTTTATTATGATGACAGGAGTGCTCTGTAAACACTATTTTATATTTTTTAATACCATGGGGAGTTGAGGAGTTGTTTCTGTGCTGTAAAACCAAAGCATTTTACTTTTGCCTCAAACAAAATGATCTTTTGCCCCTCTCCCACCTGGGTCATTTATTTTGTGGTGTGGGTGAACAGAACCAACACAAACCTGCATGTTGCCAGAACTATTTCAGCTAGTAAAGGTTTTGGCTGAAAAGTCATGCTCACAATGTATAACTGCAGAAATTCTGTGCAGAAGTTCTGTGTATGACCCATGTGTGAAATCTGATACCCATTTTCTCTGCTGTTTTCTGCTCTATCTCAAAGGCACTGAATAAATTCACATGAAACCTTTGCACTTTGAGTGTGATACTACAAATCCATAAGATATATTTGTAGGATAGCTTGGATCCTAGATGCCTCTACATATCTTCAGTCAGCTGTTATTATGAGCCAAAGGGAATTTTGTTTTTTATCCCTCTGAGCACAACTGCTAATTCTTCTGAAATATATTTGTCAGAGTTGTGGCTGTCACAGACCAGAGCAGCAAGATGTGTACTGAATGAAAGCTTCCACACTGGCTTCAAGTGTCTTTTTTTTTTTTTTTCTTCTGTAGTGAAGTTGCCAAGTATTGTCTGCCATGTGATACTTCTCTGAGTAATCCACCATGTGTTTTCCCTTGCCAAACACAGGAATTAGCGAAGACGGTGCTTGCAGGAGGCTGCTTACACAGGGCCGTGCCCAGTGCAGATACATGACCCACCTCTGGGGAGCCAGCACGTGTACTGGGAGCCTCTCCCCAACACTGCCTGGATAGGGTGGCACCTGGATAGGGTGGCACCTGGATAGGGTGGCATGGGACATGGCTATCCTGTTTCAACATCCGCAAAATAAATATTGTAAATATTACTTAAGTATCCTGTAAATACACTTGCGTTGCAGGGCTTGGTTACAGGCTGGCATACCCTTACCTGTGTGCAAACAGGATTCCAGTCTGTAACTCAGGCTGCCTGGGAGTGTGTATTGTCACAGCTGGAGCCTGGTTGAGCTGTTCCCAGCTAACCTGGGAAAGGAATATTTGAATTACAGACAGGAGCTCAGCCGGGCGTTGGGTCCCCTGCCAGACTGGGCACCCCCGGTACGGCTGGCTCGCTTTGTACACCTGGGGATTTCAAAGCAACTCAAAGGATTTGGGTGTCAAAAGGGATGTCGGGAAGCCTGTGCTTGCCAGCTAAACCAGAGTGTGTCGGAAAGTGCCTCTGAGCAATCGCTGCCTCCCCAGTAGGACTGCGGGAGGTGCTGGGGAAGCCACAACAGCACCAGCTCCCCCCTTCCCTCTGCCAAGCTGGCATTGCCCTTCCCTGGCTTGGCATCACTTCTGTTGCCTTGTGCCAAAACAAGGCAGGAGTCATCACTTGATTGATGAAACCTGAGAAGCAGGCAGCTCCCTCAGCTGGAAGAGGTGGGCAGTGAAGGCAGGGAGGTCTTGGGGCATCAGCTGGAGGAGGCTTCTGGCAACTCCAGAGCTGCTGGGCAGGAGCACAGCTGTCTCTGGCCTCTGCAACATTCTTCTCAGGACCAGTTTGGGTTCTAAGAGCAATCTGTTGTCTCCAGCAATCTGTCTTCACCTCCCACACAATTCAAAGTGATGCTTAACCCTGGGCTACCACAATCACAAAATCACAGAAAGGCTGGAGTGGGAAGGAAGCTGTGGAAGATCATAGGAGGGCTTAGATTGGAAGGGATCTTAAAGATCATCTAGTCCAACCCCCCAGCTAAAGCAGATTCACCTGGAGCAGGTTGCACTGGAATATCTGGAGATATTCAGAACCCTCAGTGAGGTTTTTAGAATCTCTAGAGAAGATTTCACAACCTCTCTGGGCATTCTGTTCCAGTGCACTGCCATCCTAAGAATAAAGGAATTTCTTCTCATATTCAAATGGATTTCCCTGTGCTTCACTTTGTATCCATTACCCCTTGTCCTGTTGCTGAGCACCACTGGAAAGAGTCTGGCAGGAAAGATTTTTTTTCAAAGGGAATTTCAGCCACTGTGGAAATACCAAAATGTGGTTTACGTTCCATGTTCATGAGTTTGGGGTTTTTTTTGGGGGGGAACAGTAACATTTTCTCAAAATATGATCTGCTTGTTGGTATTTTCTTATCTGACAGTCAATATGAGTCTGACACCAAATTTATTCTAATCCTGGATAGAAGATTGGACACATGGACATCAGTCAAAATGACTCTCCAAAAAATAGCAGTAAGTCCTCTTTAATGTTAATTTCTTTTAATGTACTAAGTCACCGTGCCCATTATGTATCTCTCTCATAAAACACTGGGAACCAGGAGCAATGATGCTCCTGCTTTCTCTCTAGGTAGTATTTTGTTTTATGGCCCTGTAATTAATTTGAGTGCATAAATGAGCTGTTTGAGTATTAATTTTCTTGTTTGATTCATCTGCTTAGTTTTGTGCTTTTTCATAGTGGTTCAGATGTGTTTTGTGCCACATTCTATGCTTTTGATGGGTGGAAACTTTGGCTTCTTATACTTTCTTTTTAGACACTGGTTATTTGTGAGACTGTACCTAATTGTTGGTGACTGAAAGTTTTAGGTTCCTTAAACAGGCTTCACAAGCATTTGTATGTGGACATGCATGGAAAAATCTATTGTAAAACTGTATGTATTCATTCATGTGTTTTAAATAATCTAGTACACATGTTTATGTGCTGCACATCATCAGCACATATCTTGCCTGAACATATCTCAAAAGTAGGGTTTTTGCAACTCAGCAGTGTGTTGTGTCTTCTGGAATCAGAGCATGGATTTATAGTAGTGCCTGGAGGTATTGAAAAGTCATGTTAATAGATGCATGGATCTATTAGCACGGATAGGTAGAGCTAATTGATAAATCCTTTCCCAACCAGAACGTACCATATGGATAAATCAATGAAAATAATCTGGGTGTGTTATTATTGCCTTTGTTTCTGCTTGAATCATTGAACAGTTAAAGGCATTGATCCACCTGAGAGAGAGTTAAGTAAATGGAATGTTCTGAGGGAGGAAACGCTTACCTGTTTCTGGTCAGATTGGATAAGGTTAGATTTTACAGTATTTCAGATGGTTAATACTGGTACAGCAGAACTTAGTGTTTAAAATATCTGGCTTTTTGATGGCATTTTGCTGGTTAGCATCTCGTAGGAGGAATAAGAGGGCTCCCTTTTTGCAGTGTGCATAAGATACCATTGACAGGATTTTGGGTTCTGACTTTTCTGAATGTTATAAACTGAATTTCCAAGTGTGATTACCATACCATTAGAGAAGAAGCAGCATTTAGAAAGTAGTTCTTTAAAGTGATCATCAAAATTCAGTTCTGCTGCCAGTGTTTGAACAGGTGCTGGTTCCAAGAGCACCCTTTAAGGATGACGTGGTTGCTCTGCATAGTTTGGAAGTTTCAAATGTGAAAAAATTCTGTCCTAATTTGTAGCTTCTAGAGAAGTGTAATTCATTTTGTGTTTAATAAGTAAATTTAATTATTGTGTGACCTTTAAGCATACACCCTGTTTGTGTAGCTATATGTTCTGTGTGTCCATGTGGAGAAGTGACTTTGCCCACAGTATTGGGGCTGTCCATGTAAATGGTGGGGAGGTGATCTGTGACAAGAGGGATGAGAAGCAGGAAACCTGTGTCCACTAAATCTTAAGACTTGGGAATCTTGTCTTAAAAATAGGGTCTGGCCCTAAAGAGCTGTCTCTGTGTCCAGGAGGCATCTCAACTTGCCTTTGTGCAGCTAAAGCAAAAAAATTAAATCTTGAATTCTTTCCAGTCATAAGCCATAAGCCATGCTGCAATTAGAGAAATCTTTTTTTCTGATCTTTGTGTAATTTTGGAATAAAGGAGTGCAAAGGAGCTGAATTTGAAATACAGAATGTGTCCTATTTTTTGAGCATATGTATATGCAATTTCAGCTCTGCGGTTGTGCAGAAAAATTTTTATATCAGACTGTACAGATTTTTTGCTTTAACTCTTTGTGTATGTCTCTGATTGCATGGGCAAACCAGGCTCATGCTGGTACTCCCGGCTTTGGGAAGTGATGCCCTACTGCTGGGTCAAGTCTCAGGTTTTGGCCATAGCCTCTTTCCCTAGTTTCCCCCTAAAATACTAAACGGCTTGAAAATGTACCTTGGAGATAATGGCAGGGGGGGAAGGGAAGGATGAAAGCTCTAAGCTGAAAGCCCAATCCTCGAAGGAAAGAGCTGGCCCCGTCTGCAGGATGATTTTTTGCATTCCACCTTAAAAGCAAACCCGGCGCTGGGGAGGAGAGCGGGGCTGCCAGCCGGGTGCCGGCAGGGTTTGCCTGCCTGTATAGCTGCCTGCCCGCCCCCCTGGCAGCGGGGCGAGCTCGGGCAGCGCCGCGGTTCCCATCCCTTCCCCATCCCGAGCATCCCCATCCCATCCGCTGCCGGCGGCGGGGGCGATGGCGGAGGCGGGCCCGCGGCGGGGCGGGCGGCGGGCCGGCCGGGATGCGGTAAGGCTCCGGGCCCGGCGTGCTGCAGCGCCCAAGGACGGGGGGGGGCCGCACCGCGGCGGCCAGGGACCTTTTTGGACTGGGGGGAGGATGGAGGGAGCGGGAATATTGACCGGAGCGGCTAGAATCCAGCAGCACGGCTTGAATTTTAGTAGCATCCTCCGTGCGGGAGCAGCCGGGCGCTGGGTACCGCTGCCCCGCAGTGCTTCTCCCGGCGCCCTCCAACCGCGGGGAAAGGCTCTATCATTGCTCCTGCGGAAGGGAAAACCTCTGGCAGGGAGGGGGCCCTGGGTAGGGTCTGTGCCCCAGCGGTGCTGACAGCATCTTCGGGGGGTTAATTATGCAGCCGGCTGACATAAAGGTAGCGGACCGCTTGGGATTTTCATTCTGGCTCTGGGGGAAGTTGAAGGCTCACATCAGCAGTACTTGGCATTTTGTTGCATGACATGCTTTTCCTTTAAGGGACAGCAGAAAGTCATTAACTTCAGCACCTGTATGGGGACCACTGGCCTTAGACTCTGGTGCTCGGAAGCAAACTTACTGGCAGATACTACTTTTTCTTTATGTTTATTGATTACCTACCTCAGGGATGCCCCAGTGAACTGCAGGGAAGAATATTCTCTGAAAACTGAATTCCTAAAACTGGGGGAAAAAATGAAGTGTCAGGATGAAATATTCACTAAGGAGGAAATAACTGTGATGCTTTCAGTGCATGTTCTTTCTTGTGCTTTATTAGCCCAGTTTGTCCATATTGATTAAATCAGGTGCTTATAGTTAAGTGTGCATTTAAAAAAGTTGCTGAACTGGGGCCTTAAGGTACACATATCTGTGACATTATAAGGGGAAGGATGTTATGAGCATGGGCTTTGGTCAGTGAGATAGTTAACAGGAGTGAAATTTTGCCAACTGCCTGTTTTAGTGGAATTGCACCGGTAGTTTCCTGCCTTTCCTGATATGCTGCAGAGGAGTAGCAGAGGGCAAAGGCTTCAGAGGGTTCTTTAGGTGTTTTGTTACATAAGCCCAAGTTTATTAAATGCACACAGTTCTTTGCAGCGTTATAAATTATAAATCATAAGGCAAGTTTAAGGACCCTTTTGTCTTTGCTTTCTTGAATATATTGTGGAAAAGGGTTTTTTGCAGCAGTGCCTTCAGTAGCATTAGAGTTCAGTTTGCAGGAAACTTATCTACACTTCAGCTCTGAGTAAAACTGGAATTGTAGCAATGACTAAAAAAAATATAGTCCCTTCAGCAATGCTATATCTGAGGGATCATTGGTCTGTGCGATTTTTTTCTAACATTTCATCCTTTCTCTTAAGTCGCTAGGAGGGCACAGGACATGGTTTGATTGGTGTCTGTCTTTCTGGAAGCTTATTTTTTGGCTTGTTCATTTTTTTCCATGCTTGAAATGCATTAGGTATCATTTGCAAAGCTGTGTTTCTTGTTCTGTAGCTACTTGTAAGTGCTGACCTTGATCCTGTGTATATAAGATTAGCTGAAAAATCCCCAAATGCTTTCTAAACTGAACAGAAATCAAATCACCTGTCCTGGAAACCCAGGTGGAATGTGTTAGCATCCTGCATTTGTGAAACCAGAGGGGTCCAAGGGCATCTTTGCTCTCAGACAGGCGTTTCACACCTTTTCACTGTTGCAGTATAGTTTTGGCAGGCAGTTCTGCTTGCAACCTGGTTGCTGGTCCGTATTCCTGGAGCTGTAGGTTTCCTGTTCAAGGGCTCATAGTCTGCAAGGTCCCATGGAGGAGTATGGTTTGGAGACCCTGGCCCTCTCTCCGGGGAATTTGCTGAGCACCCAAAGGGTGCATGATAAAAAGGACTGGAAGGAGTAGGAGATGGCAAAGCTTGAAGAGCTGAACAGGGAATTAAGGGAGATAATGAGGTAAGACCAAGGGAAGAGGAATTTCTGAGTTGTTGTTCTTCTCAAAGATATTCCTAATGCATTTTTTTCAGAAAGGGATCAAGGTAGGAGCCTAAAGTTCATAGACCTTAACAGGCAGTTTTGTTTCTGAACTGGAAACAGCAACTTTCCCAAAGCTCTGTGGAACTTCACCATTGGATTCACATGCAATGAACTCACAACCATGCAGAAGGACCTCAAATTGAAGCCTCTGAGATCCTCTAAAGCGTTGTAAGGCCATTGTCCTCACAAGGTTTTAGTTCAAGACAGTTTGAGCTGTTAACAGCAGCAGCGCAGGGCCCATCTTGGAGGAACAGCATCCTACCCTTTGAGGTCTGCAGCTCGTTGTGGCTCCTTGGTGAGATCTTTGAAACCTTGCTTGGGGATGCTACAGTTTTCCTGTCTGCAGAGAAATACCCACTGGGAAATGATGAGGATATGGAATGAGTTAAAGAGGGACACAAGGGTGGGCATGAGGGAGTAACACATGATGTACTCACAGCTCTGCAGGGATGGGCACAACAAGGCCATAAATACAGACTGACAGGTCTCTCCATGGGATGTCCTAGTGCTGTGGGGTGTGCCAGGGCATGACAGTGTCAAGGGCTAGCCAGGTCAGCCAACAGGCCTGGAAAGAGCAATAGGAGCGTTTACTGGCTCCAATGGAGAGCCAGCACAGTGAGGTTGGAAAGGCAGCTGGCTTCTCTGGGACACAGTGGAGGATGAGTGCTGAGCTTACCAGAGACTGTTCAGTGAAATATTACACATTTTGAATGACCTCAGAATTTAATGCATTGTCTACAAACCTGTGCCTAGTTCTGATGGTGCTTTCCTCAGTGAAGGGTGCTGCATCCCAGGCAGAGATTCTTCTCAAAGAGAGCAACCACTCCAACTCCTCTGAGATATCCAGTAGTCTGTGGATGATTTTCTTTCTAGAAATATGGGAGGATCAAGATAAAAATCCTGAGCTGCATCTATTAGCTGTGCTGTTGGAGGGCCTGCCTGGGGTTGTCTTGCAGGAGAGATGAGCTTCCTTGTAGAGCTAATTAAACAGGCACTGAAGCAGGGAGGTGAACCTGGATCTCCTGCAGGTTGTCACCCACACTTTCTTGGGCAAGCCCTGTCTCAGAGCTGCAAAGGCTCTGGTGACTCCATAGCCACTTTCAGACCTTTGGTCTACAGGTGTCACAGGGATGGAAGTTGGTTCCTTGAGTCTGCCATGGCTGTAGCCATCCCTGTGTGCCCAGGGACAGCAGACTTTTTGGAGATGTTATGTGTTATGGAGATGCTATGTAGCAGGAGCACAGGACCCAGGGCCTAGAGCCAGCACAAATGTCTCTGTTATTTAATGGTTTGCTGTTGTTTCTAGTGCCAAATCCTTGTCCCTGGCACCATTCTTGTTGACTTCCAAAGGGTATGAATTTGGCATTTCATTCACATTATTTTTTTTTTACTGTTCTACTTAAAATAACAGCAGATCAATATATTGAATTTGTGTGGCTTATGTGATCCTAAACGTCACTGTCCATTTCTAAGTGGAGTTGTGGGAGGTAGAAGCCACAACCTGAGCCTTCCTATCAAAGAAAACTTAGCAAATGAGTGACACTGCAGTTCATAGATGTCAGCTCTCACCTGTAATTCATGGCTGTTTTGAACAACACTAATGCGTGTTTATGGGAGTGATCTTTGTTTTGGAGGCACAGATTAAGTGCCCTGCAGTGCAAAATACCTAAACACATTCATTATTCTCACCCTTGGTATAGATACTATTATGGTGTTTCACAGAGGAGTGTTTTAAGGAGGTGTTTAAGGAGGAATATATGGAGAAATGTAACCTGGCCTGGCAGGATCCCAGAGTAAATCATATACCTTAATTAACTCAAAACTTTTCCTCATATGCTTATCCATAATTTAATGATGTGACTCCTACTTTCTCAAAAATTTTTTTCATTCTCAAGCACCCTTTCCACAGATCTATTTGAAAATGCACCTGCCAACCATATGCTTGAAAAAAGGCTCCAGCAGCGTAGACAGGAAATTCCAAATTCTTGCCACAAATTAAATGTTGCCTGGTAATTACCAAGGACGAGACGAGTGTGCTTAATGCAGTTATGGGATGATTAGCAAGTTTGGCAATAAATTTTGCTTCCTCAATCTGTCATTCCAGCCTGCTGTTCCCTGCTAAGTTGTAATTTCACTCTCCAAGTTATATGATGAACAGTGTATATATTATTAAAGTTTATAATAAGTGTTTCTCCAAGGTGCATGGCTGAATTTCTGCCTGCTCCAGAGGGAACTGGGGCTGCACAACCCTCCTGCAGTTAGGCCTTGTATCTCTAAACTGCTTACAGTGTCTTGCTCCTGTTTCTAAAATAGGAAAAAGCTATCAGGAGCAATCAAAAAAACAAAACAAAACAAAAACAAAAACAACAACAAAAACACAAACCAAAACAAAAAACAAAACCCACCAACAAAACAAACAAAAACCCAAAACAAAACAAAAAACCAACCAACCAAACAAACAAACTAAAATAGTAAAAATCCCGTCACCAAGGTGAATGTCATCTCTGTTTCCTTACAGGCGTCTTTCCCAGGGAACCTGCACTTAGTGATGGTTCTTCGTCCCACGGGGTTTTTCCAGCGCACCTTCACTGACATTGGATTTCGGTTCAGTCAGGAGGATTTTCTACTCAAGTTACCGGTATGAGTGTGCAGAGTTGTTTGTGCCTGTCCAACTCAGGTCAGGGGCTGACAGAGTCCCACTCTGCTGGTGCCCCAACATAAGAAGGACATGGACCTGCTGGAGTGAGTCCAGAGGAGGCCACAGAGGTGCTCAGAGGGCTGGATTATCTCCGCTATGGAGACAGTCTGAGGGAGCTGGGGTTATTCAGCCTGGAGGAGAGAAGGCTCTGGGGAGGCCTTAGAGCCCCTTTCCAGTGCCTAAAGTGTCTCCAAGGGAGCTGGAGGGGGACTTTGTACAAGCACCATGGAGTGATGGGACAGGCTTCAAACTGAAAGAGGGGAGATGTAGATTAGGTATTAAGAAGAAATTCTTACGTGTGAGGGTAGTGAGGCACTGGCACAGATTGCCCAGAGAAACTGTGGATGCCCCATCCATGGAATTGTTCAAGGCCAGGCTGTGAGCAACCTGGTCTGGTGGAGGGTGTCCATGGCAGGGAGTTGGAACAATGTGGTCTTAAGGTTCCTTCCAAACCAAACCATTCTGTAATTCTGTGTGAAGAGTAACCACAGTGTCTCTGCCAGAAGTGCCCTATTTCCACCAATTCACTCTCCATCAAATCTCTCCTGTAGCATTTTCCAGCTCCCCTGAGCACAGTTTTCTCTCCACAGAGCGTGCCCGTGGTAGTGGGTGATGGGTTTCTCAGCTTGTCCTCAACCCCCATATGGGCTGCATGCTTTTGGGGAGGATAAATCCATACTCAGGAATTTGTTTAACATCTGTAAAGTCAAAAGACATGTCTACTCAAGCTTTTGCTATGAATTCCACCCATTTTCATTTAAGTGTAGATTCCATACCAACATTATATTGGTATTTGTTTCTAAAATAGCAGCTGAAATGGTTTTGTATTCTCAAGTCAAAATTTCCAGACTTCTCAAATCACCTTGGTTATAGGATGTAATGAGAATAATTAATAGAAGTAAAATTATAGAATCTAAGGTTGCTGCAATTACAAACAGAGAAAAGAAATCAATGTTTTCCTTTAGGAAATAGTATGATTTTCAAAAAATTTACATTTCACTCTCTAAAATGTCATTTGCACATGTTTGTAAATTCCTGCCATATCCCATTGCAGATCTAGACACACAAAAACTCATGAGTATATATTTATGTGAAATTGGTCAATGCTTCATAACTTATTAAAATGTAGGTATTTTTTTGCAGTTTTCTGGTCATTCCTTGCCTAAACCTGCATCACTTTTGCTTTCAGCTCTGATCTGCAGTCAGATACTGCAGCATCTCACTGTGCTTTGCCTTTGAGGAAGAAAGCACCTGGGAGATCAGGGCTGGCTGACAGAAGTGGTCAAATACACCAAATAAAAGCTGTGTTGAGCCATAAACATAAGAAGAAAGCCATGCTCCAGAACAATATTTAGAGCAAACCCAATGTTTAGATGCATGAAAGCTCAGTAGGCTTAGTCTCTGTGGCCTGAGTAGGAGCAATGATCACCCAGCTAACGGAGTTGCCTTGTCTGTAGGTTGTTATGCTGAGCTCGGTGAGCGACCTGCTGACCTACATTGATGAGCAGCAATTGACCCCGGAGTTTGGGGGCACCCTGGAGTACTGCCACAGCGAGTGGGTCATCTTCAGGACTGTACGTACTGGGGCTGGGACTGGGCTCTTGGTGTTTGGGAGTGACTGAGGAAGGTTGTCACTAAGGCAGTGAGCAGTGGGTAGCTGAGAGAAACCCCTGAAACCAGCTATAACTGCTGGATGAGATGTGCAAGGGAGCCAAGTGGCACTGAGAGCTTGTTTGGTTTACAAGGGAACTGGATGATTAAATCCCTCAGGCTCCTTTTGAAACTGCTCCCGGAAGACCTGTCTTCATAAATCTTTATTAAAATTCTCTTAATGGGAGATACAAAAAATAGGCTTTTTCTTTTTTCATAATGGTTGCTTCATGTGATTAATACCAGAACTGTGTTTGGGAACCAGGACAATGAGACTGCATTCTTCATACTGACCAAATGCAGAGGATTCAGAAAATTGCCTTTTATTTTTTTGTTTCCTTTCCTTGCAAGGATTTTCCTTGAATATTGCCAGGAATCAGGCATTTAATTCCTTGAGCTATGCCTTGCTGTACGTTTCTATGCTTTCTGCACACTCTTGGTTTTCCCTGGGATGTTGCCTCCCAAATGAATGGCAGGTTGGATTCCCAGTTACCTTCCCAACAAACTAAAGCATTAATGGAAAATGTACCAGACATCCCAGTTCCTCTTGTCCTGCAACATCATCCACACCAGCAGGTGTGGAGCTGAGTATGAAGGCAAAAGCACAAGACTGTAGCTGGAATAACTCAAGCTATTGCTTGTGCCATTAACTTTTTGACAGTTTATACTAATGCACTGCCAAATTAATGATTTTTGAAGATTTTTTGCTCTTGGTTTTTGTTCTTTTTCAAGATGTGTTAAAGTGATAATGGCATGACTCTCACACTTGGAGACAAAAGTGACAAAATGAATGACATGTTAATATAAAAAAAATGTTAATATAACAAAAACATAGTTTCTACACCATAGCTGCCTACTGTAGATGTGCCATCTGAAAAACTTCTCTCAAAATTCCCTCGTAGTGTGGTCATGAAACATTTCCTGAAATTTCCATGGAAAATAAATGTTTTTACAAGAAATATATAACTGCAATCAGTTACATTTGAGTTTCTTTTCCAACCTAAATGGTTCCATGATTCTATGATTACCCTGTTTTTAAAATTGGAGCTGGAGCACCAAGCTGGGTGTGAGACCACCCACCTTGTCCAGTGGTGTGGGAGCCATCTGGTGTACAGAGCTCCCGCTGGCTTGCTGGGATGTGCTGGGGAGCTACCAACAGCACTTATTTCCATCCCACTGTCTCCAGTTTGTCTCTTGCACCCTGCTTGGCTCCAACCCTTGCCCTCTTGGTGAATCTGCAGATGAGGTGGTCATAGTGCCAGACTGCCTGTAACCCAACCATTTGGGCTTGCAGAAATGGAAGCATCCGTCACCAAGAAGCCAAATACAGATCCAAAACCCCATGGCCTTGTGGTGGTTCCTTGTGTAAGTTAATCAGAGGAGAAGGATAACAGAAGAGGAATTACAGGAATATGTGAGATGGATCTTGGGGTGGCTTCTGCTGTAGATCTCCAGTATGTGGTAGGAACAATCTCAGGGTGTACAAGAACAGCAGAAAGCAAAGCATGAAGCATCTCTGCCCAATGCAATCCTATTGAGGATTCAGTCTGCACTACAAGCCACCTGGCCAAGTGTGGGATGTCCGCTCTGTCTGCCATGGACATCCCATCCGCCTCTCTCCGAGCAGGTTGTTGGGCTCCCTTGCACATCTCAGCCTCAGCTCTTCACACGCTCTTCATGAGCTGTAGGAATACCCCGAATCCCAGGCTGATTGCAATTATCGTCTCCCACCAGGCCATAGAGAGTTTTGCACTAACTGTGAAGGAAATTGCACAGATGTTACAGTCCTTTGGCATGGAGCTGGCAGAGACCGAGCTGCCGGACGACATGTATTCCATCGAGCGCATCCTGGCCCTGCGCACGGAGAAGTACTACCAGCTCAAGGTGTGTCTCACCAGCAGCTCCACTGTTTGCATGGCAAGATGGGATTTCTGGTGTTTGCCTGTTTGTTTTGCCTGTTTGTTTTGCGCACTCCTCCTTCCCTCCATGCACGTGTACGTGTTGACAGACAAAACGGAACACAGCATGACTGTTTCTGTGTGTTACCCATACATTTGCCATCCACTTGAGCAAGTTACCCTGCCAGCATCCAGCAAACTGTCTCAGCTGCCGCCTCCTTGCTGGCTGCAGCAGTTGGTGTCTGTAGCCTGCTCCTCCCATGGGCTTAGCACATCTTGCTGCCAGGAGGGTGGTGGGAGGCTTTGTCACCTGCCATGTTCATGCCCTCAGTTGGGATCCCCTCTGCTTCACCCTTGAGGCTGGAGAAAGTTGCACACAAAGCTCATCAGCAGGTCTGGAGGGATGGTTTGTCCCCAGATCCCTCTACCTGATGCAGCTTCTCTGAGGGGACTTAAGGGAACTGTGCTGGAGAGCATCCAAGGTGAGGATTTTGTGTGTGGGCGTGGTACAGACATTCACGATGCAATCCCTGTCTTCATGTGAGCCTTCATCTTTTGCCTAAACCACATTTGTTTCATTAATATTTTAATTTTTTAAACTATTTTTAATTGTTATTAATATTATTACAGAAGTCAGCAGAAGCTTTAGTACAACTAGCTGCTGCCTTATCAAGCTGTTGTCTTTGGTGCTCCTGCATCTTTCAGGGAGCAGTATGGGTGTGTCCCCAAACCCTCACTTCAGAAGGGATTCCTGTGTTAATAGTCATTCTGTGTGGCTGAAGAATGAGGTCTTTTGCTTTGTGACAGGTTTTATTTACCCAAGTCAAAGAAGTGTATCTGTTTTCCTTAATAATCATTTGTCATTCACCTGACAGCAAGTTCCCAGAAATCTGTCTGTAAGAAATACTGAAAATGACATCCAAAGTGTGCTGTGTGCAGGCATAAATGTATATGTGCATGTATAGAAAGTATCATTATACATCCTGCCAATGGGCCTTTATTTCTTCTTTGAAAATGGGAAGAGTAGTATAAAACAGCAACTACATCTATTGCAATATGGCTTACTGAATTAAGTTTCATGCTGAGGACTATGTAGCCAAAGTGCAGGGGGCAAATATCGACTGCATGATGTATTTCTGTGTATAAACCAGCCAGTAATACACACTTGCCCCTGTGGAGAAATAAAACAAGTAATGTGTTTTCATTTGCATATAAAGCACAGCAGTACTCAGCACAAGGCATCTCTTGCTTTTAATTCCTCATCTATTAATTTCAAATATCAAAACCACCCGTTGGCTTTTGACTGAAATGAAGTCCACTGGCTTTTTTCTTATGTTCCTTCTAAGACCATGAAAGATAAAAGCAGATGAAAAACTGTGCACAGATTGTGGTGACAGCAAGACATGGGATTCTTATCTCTTTCATGACAACCCCAAGATTAGAACAGCTGATTGCTGAATTCAAATAATGAGTTGATCAGAATAATTTATGTAGCTGTGATGCTGAACAGAAGCTGGTTGCAAGCACAATATAAAAATGACAGAAACTAATTAAACAAAGTAACTAAGAAATTAACCTCTTTGATATGCTGAATGGGAAAAAGTCAAGTTAACACCTGTTTGACAGGCAGGCTACTTTGCCTTATGGATAATGAACAGCTTTGAATCAAAAGAGGAATGTGGGGCTCTGGAGAGTGAGATGTAAGAGGATGAAATAACAGCCACCTGCGGACTAAAGCATGCTGAATAATTCCTCTTCCCTTCTGAGTCTCCTGGACATGGTACTATCAAAAGGAGACAGGGTTTTTGCTTTGCAGTCATCTTCCAGGATGTTTCAGTGATAGAGTTGCAAACCAGCAGTGGATGCTGGATGTGGTAGAGGAGAGGCTCCTGCAGCTGTGCCCTGTTCCTGGGCTGCTGCCCTGAAGATGCTGCTATGTTTGGGTTGCCTTGAGCTGTCTGGGGCAGGCAGACATTTAAGCAAGTCTGGGTTTTCTGTATCTTCTCCCAAAAGTAATTTTGCTGTTGTTTTTCTTGCAGTGGAAATTTGATTATCTCTTAGGACGGGCTCTTACTCCTCTAGCACCTGGCTGTCCAATGGGGCCATACACAGGTCTCTCCTTCAGGGCCTCTTGCAACTCTGTTCATCATCTACATGCTTTTTCTCCCTCTTTCTCATCTCTGTGTTTGGCCTCTTTTTCCTGAAAATAACTGACATAAACACACCTGTTTGCCTTGGGGCTGAGCCCAGCCCAGCACAAAGCACCTCAGCTGATGCTAATGAACACACCAAGGGTTTAAATTTTCTACAAGTGGATATTGCATTGGAGGTGCTGATTTTGTATGTAGAGGCTGTAGTAAATGATAATGGCATGTGGTCTCAGTCCCAGCTTTGTCCCACAGTAGGGTGCTCTTTCTACAACCTGCTGTCATGACCTCGGTGGAGAAGCACCGCCTACTTGCTTGAAGACTTGAACTTGTGGATAGATGTGTCAGACAACTCCCACCTGCCCATCAGGAGAGAGCCATGAGAGTGCTGTCCTCCTGCAGGACTGCAGCTTCCTGCAGCTCCAGGGGCTAATTCCATGTTAAGGGAATGAAAACATCTCCTGGGAGTCCTTTGGTCTGATGGATATTGGTGCTTCCTTTTGAACAGGGAAACTAAGGCAGAAGAAACACAAAATGACATATCCTTACCTCAAAATAAGTAGCCTGAATCAGAAATGTTTTGTGTTATACAGGAAGATATTACAGCAGTCACAAAAGAGGGAAACTTGCTTTTGAGCAGTTTTGAAGAGCCTGACTCTGGGGAATGCAGTCAGGACCAGCACCATGAGAGGCCTGGAGACTGGGAGACTGTGAATCGGTAAGTGCACTGTGTTTCTTATTTGCCTGATTTTTCAGTGGAAACATTCCAGTTATTTAGGTGTAGATGTGTTGTTTAGGTCATCTACCAAAGACAAAGATACCAGAATTTTGTTCCAAGCCCAGTAAGTTGCTGTGTGACTTCTATCAGTTGGTTTAGACCTGCTCTGATTTTCATCCCCCCTGTTACAATGAGCCTGTGGAGCAAACACAAGGCTCTTCAGTGCCAGGCTCCCAGGTATTACTCAAATAAATGGAGATAACAACAACTGATTCACACAGGTGCTGTCATCTGCAGTGATGATTTAATGAAAATTCTCTCTGAGATCTTCTCAAGTCATATACACATATCTGTTGACTTCTTCTGAGACGTTGGGTCCAGAACACCTGAACAGTTGATCTCTACAGCTTGTCCATCTCTGCTTGTCCTCTGTTTGCAAATTGTTCCAATCTTGTCCTTTCTCTGTACTCAAGGTTACTTGGTCAGCTGCGTGAGATGGAGACTGCTTTTGATGGCTTCTGGGAAAAACACCAGTTAAAAATGGAACAATATTTGCAACTGTGGAAGTTTGAGCAAAGTTTTCAAGAGGTATGATCAGATGCACTTCCACTGGCAGAAGGGAGAGTTGGAGATGAAATGGAGGGGAGAGAAGTTTTGTGCTTTTTATTCTGAGAGTATTTAATTTACGCTGCTTTTCCTTGACTCTGGCAGAGCTAGCTAGCCTGGGGAGACCACTGTGCTTCCTCATTCAGAGCTAATTTAGGTATCCCTACCCTGCAGTCGCATGGATTTTGCTGATAGAAGCATCTCTGAATTTAGAAATTAGTTCTTGGACACTAGTCTTATTATTGGATTTAGCAATCTTAGCTAAAGTGTGATTAATTTTGGTCTCAGAATGATTTTCTGCCTGTGCTTTGTATCCCTTTGCAGCAGTCTTCTTCTTTGTGTCTAGGTCAAGAATGCCATTGAATTTTTAATGGGTCAGCAAGCAGAGCTGCCCGACACTGGGGACAGTGTTGCCCAAGTGAAGCAGAGGCTCAAGGACTTGGATCATTTCGATGGTATGGCTCAGGTGAGATAACCTTACACAGAAAGAGGCACTAATGAAACACAAGAGCCACATTCTGTGTTTGTGGTAGGAGCTGTTTCCTGAAGTTACCTGATTCTGGTGTAATTTGTTGGCAAGTGGCTGCACGAAAGGATCAATTTCTTGTCTTTGCTCTGTGCAGTGATGCTGTGATCACTCTGAAAGCCAGAAACAGGGTATTTAATTATCATAGTTAAAATAAATTGCTGAGCCACCATGAAAATCCGGAACAGATAAATGTCTGAACATGGGGGAGGCGTGGGATTTAATGAGCTGGAAGAAAAATGATTTATATTTTAAGTGCTTTAGCTGTGTTAATAGAGAGAGACTTGTTACCAGGCACATGGAGAGGCAAAATAAAGTTGCTATTCTAACATGTCTCTGACTTAACACATGGAGGAAGACTAAGAGGTGTAGGGGAAAGAAGAGTGATGACTCACAGGAGCCCAACTGAGGATATGACTTTTGCAAAGGGATGTGCTTGGAACATGGACCAGGGTCAGCAGAGAAATCCTGAGGGATCTGGACAGATAAAATGAGAAAATAAGAGTCTTAGGGAAAGGTCTAAAACTTCTTGTCCATTTGGAAGAAGTGTTTGTGAAAAGAGGGAGGAAGAACAAAAGGCCAGGCAGGCAGGGTGCAGCAGGGAAGCAGTCCCAGTGGAAAACCAGCCCTGGAGAAACCATAACCTTACACTGACCAAGGTGTAGAGACAAGATAATGTGTGCATCAAGATTTGCTACAAAGGGCCTCTTATGTTTTCACCCTAAACCTTAACTGCTCCAGTTCTGGTTGATGCTTGTGAGCATAGTGTGCCTAAACTGAGCATCAGCTGCATTTTATTCAGGGTGTGGTTCCTGGAGACAGCAGGCACTCAACAGCATTGCTAGTTTGGAGAAATGCTGGTTTTTTCTTCATCTTCTTTATGGATAGCAAAAGTGGGTTTTTTTCCCAGATGATGTGTGCCCTTTTATCCTGCATAACTGACCTGTTCTGGCTACTCCTAATGGCCTTTATCTCCATGTGTGCATGAAATCTGGTAAAACAAGAAAGTGCATGTTGTTACATGTAGACATTTTGACATCATTTCAGTAAGTGCGCAATCCATTCTCTTCCTTTCACTGAAGGATCTGATAGGGAAGGCTCAGGTGGTGATACTGCATGGACACCAGCTAGCAGCAAATCATCACTATGCACTCAACCTCATCTGCCAGCAATGCAATGAGCTGCGGCACCATTCTGATGTCTTGTCTGATGAGATCAAAAGGAAGCAGATGCGGCTGCAGAAGACCTTGGATCTTCATACCCGCCTTCAGCAGGTAGAGTTCAGAGACACAGTGCTCTGAGAAGCAGTTAGCTTCTCCTTGGGGTTATCCGCTCTGCCTCTTAGCTGGAAGCACCTGAAATTTGCAGCTTTGCTTCAGTTAATGGTAGGAAAATGCTCCCCAGAGGCTGGAGGAGCGCTTCACCCCTCACTTAGCTGGGGAAGTTAGCAACCAGGTATTGATGGTGCCGTGAAGTCAGCAGAAGGAGGTGGGTATCTCTGGAGGGCAATTCAGAACACCAAAGTTCAGCTGCTGCTCTTGGTTGTGCTTTCATGCTGCATCCATGTGTTAATTGACTTTGGAGGTTTTCATAATCAGTGCAGTAAGGGTAATGCTTTCAGATAAACTCCAGCCCTTTTTTACTGAGTGATTTATTAAGAATGAACGTAGCTCAGTGTAAAATAAAGTGGCAGATTGATAGATAGGCACAGCTGCTGTGTGCTAACGTGGAAGTGGAGTCATGTGGTTCCAACACTCTGATATCTTAATCAGCATCAAATATTCATTTAGGGAAATTCACGGTAATTAGGCCAGAAGGCACACGGCTGTAATATGCTTGAGGCCATTAAGAGAAACAGTGAAGTTTGACCCTGTTTCCCTTTCACTGTTTCAGGGAACTGGGGAACTTGTTTTTTCTCTCTGTGTGCTCCACTTCAGTGTTGCACTTCAGCTTTCTGAGCCAGATGAATAAAGATCTGCTTATCATTTGGTTCAACTATGCACTAAATAGTGCTTCTGTGTCCATTATACCACTGGTTTTATCCAGGTACAAGTGGGAGCACAACTTGGCTGGGTATGTTGAGGGCTCCGGAAAAAAATGTGGCCTTTCTGCATTCTAATCAAAACACAATAACTGCTGAGGTCTTTAGGAGTGCTAATTAGCTCCATGTTGAAAATACAGATCCAGTAAATGACATTCCTCATGGGAACCTTGCTGTAGTAGGGGTGCTGCTGACAGTCTGGCTCCCTGTGCTTGCCCTGTGCTGTTACCAGGCTCTGCAGTGCTGTGACGAAGGTGCCTACCTGCTTGCCAACCAGCAAATGGATAAGTGCCAGTCTAAAGAAGGCGCTCAGAAAGCTCTCCAGGACATAGAAAGATTTCTTGAAAGCTCTTCAGGCTACTTAAACTATGATCCCCAAGCCCTACACTACGATTTTGAGTCAGTCTTAACGTCTGAGTTGAAGGTAAGCAACCTGTATGGTTCCGCACACAAGTAAAAAACAAGGTTGGACTGTGATGTGGTGTTGTCACCTTTATAATCCTCTGTTTTGGGCCAAAGAGAAAAATAATGGTGGTTATTGGATCATGAGAGTCTTTTTCACTCTCTGCAGTGCCAGATCCAGTCGGTGCAGGTCAAGCTTGAGAACGTTCGCAGCATGTTTGAGAATCGGCAGTCTTGCTTCAAGAAGCTGTTGGATAAACACGTGCGGCCCGTCCAGCTGGTGGCTCCTCGGCCAGAAAATCCACCAAGATCAAAATCACCGTTATTTTCTCCTAAACATGGTAAAATATTTTGAGTTTGTGGTATCTTCAGCTATAATTGTGCTTTGAGACAGCAAGAGGAGGGTGCAGGATGGTTTTGAGAAACCAGCTAAACTTTGCTGGTGGACAGAGTTGTTGTATAGTGTGAAATATATATCAGATGATTTATTATCTTTCCAATTTTTGTGTCAAACTTCTCATACCTGTGTGAAGAATGGGGCTGGTTGCTTCTTAGGTATTTTCACATCCTACTTGGTGAAAAAAAGAGCCATAAGTAGTGTATACTTCCAGTTCTGCTTCACTAGCATCATGCTGGTCTGGAAACTGGTGAATTAAGTACTACAGGGGAAAAAAGGTCAAGATTTATAAATTTATTAGCATGCCTATTCTCTGTGGCTATCCTGAGCTGAAACTGACATAAAGTTAGACTGTTAGCTTGGAGAAATGAAGAGCTCAAATCTCATGAACAGAAATGAGCTGGATGCTTAATTCTCTTTGATTCCTTGAGGGTATCTTCCCTAAATCCCAATTGTGGAATAATTAATGCCCGTAAAGGTACAGATTCTCACTGAACTGAGGTCACTGAATGTTCTGCCCTAATTTTGGTAATGGGATGTGGCACCATGTTAGCTTTAAATGATAACATTAAAACCTTCATCCTAGGCAGCCCTGTATGTATCAGACAGAATTAAAAGAGATTCCAAAGTAGCATCCATATATTTTAAACCAGGGACATGCTAAGTTATGTGGGAATATTGAATTCAGTAATCTGACTACATCAAAGTAATTGAACACTCGTGTTTTAACACAAAATTTTTATGATGAATTAACAAATATTGGTTATGGTGAATTTTAGCAAGTGTCATACAACTGTAAAAGCAGCTTCAGTTCAGGGAATGACTAATGTAAATAGCCAAGCTAGTGAAGGAATGGGAATGAAGCTAGGTGCAGTGAGGGGAATTAAGCTACTCAAGATGCAGGCCAGTGCAAATAATTCCCAGATTTTCTCTTCCTGGGCTGATGCCACCTTCTCTAGTCTACACTGCCTTCTGAAGCCCTTTCCTCAATCAGGAAAAAAGCTCTGAGTCTTTAAACTAGAGCATTGTCCTCTTCACCTAACTCAGTTTTTCCAGCTTTCTAGAAACAGGGAAGGGTTAAAGACAAATTATTGACTTAAAGGGTAGGGTAAGAGGGTGGCCACCCCTGTGGGATGTTGTGAGACCATCATCGCTCAGCTGGACTTATTTCATGCCTTTATGGGATGCACATTTTTCTAGCAAAGGCACTCAGTCACCTGCAAAGCACAGGTATCCTCCATTAATCCTCTTTTTGAAAGCGATGATCAAGTGTGTTGGAATGAGCACAGCCAGCAAGCAGGGAAAGACAAAAGGCTCCTCTTTGGATAGATCATGACAAGAGGGCTTTTTAATAAGGCCTTTGTTTGATACCAAACATCAAAATGCTGCAGGCCTGCTGGCGTGATGTGCAGTGTCAAAGGCACATGCTGGGCTCCCTCGGAAGAGCTTTGAGACGGATGGGTTTTATGGTGTGGATTGAAACCAAACCAACTCTGAGCACATCACTTTTGTCCTCTTTTTCTTTCTTTCTTATTCTTCTGCCCTGCCCTCTCTCCACCCCGAACACCCTTCTTCTTCTGTCTGTTCCTCTTTTATCTTTGCCCTGGATTTGAAGCCTGTCTGAGAAATATGGTTCTAATTTTTAAACCATTTTTTGAGGGGGGGAAAGAGTAAATCTACCTTGTGATGAGCCATGAAGTGTAGTGAGATGTGCAGAAGTGGTACAGCAGGCTGTGTCAGAGCCTGAGTGCTGGAGTAAAGTCACTCTTGGAACAGAAACTGGTGTCCCTCTCCCATCTGGCTTCATATCCGTGTTCCCTTCCTCCCAATGACAGTCTCTAAGCAGGACCACTGGCAAGTCCTCACTTCTTTTGGGTCTTCCTGTCTCTGGAAGGGCTGATATGTGTAGGTGTTTCTTTTTGTAGTTTACTTGCTTTTATTGTTTTTGCTTTTATCATCTGCTCATGCTTCAGGGACTTTGATAGGTTTTGATTACTGTGTTCACTTAATGGACATTCTGGGTTTTTCTCTGATTAGTTTTTACTTTATGACCTTTATGACTTTGTGATGTGTACTATTTGGTATTAGTATTGTTTGGGATAAATACCCTTTATTTTGTCAGTCTGCTATTGTAGAGAGGTAACTAATTATTTATTCTTAAAAAGTATTACATTTTTCTTCGTGACTGGCCAGTTTCTGTCTGAACCCTCCCCTTCACTACAGATTTACATGATGTAATTGTGGTTTTTTTCTACACAAGGTGTGGATTTTAATTCCAGTTTGAAATTTTCATTTGATCTTTCTCTCCCTGGGAAGAAAACATCAAGAAAAACTCCGAGTTCTCGCAAGGTAAAAATTGTTCATGAAATCTGAGTGAGTTTTATACACTGAAAAACTGCAACTCCTTTAAAAATTGATTGTACTTTGGAGTTGAAGATGTTCATTTCCTTTTCTCTTTTTCATTTTTTTTTTTCAATTTAAAAAATATTCAAACAAACCCAAACCCTCTTATATCCATGTGGTTTTGTTGGATTAGTCCAACACCTGAGATCTATCTTGGATTGATTTTCCAAGTCACAGATATCGATTTCCTGTGTGTTATTCCCTGAACCTGTTCTTTTCATAACAGATGTGTGTATTAGGAAATCTCCCAATCCACAGATATTTCCCCTGTGGAAACTGTTCTCTGGTCTCTGCACTAATGAATTGTGTTACCAGTATTTTCAGATTTTATGCAGCAGAGTAATTTCTGGGAATATTTGGCCACCCATTATATGCTATGCCCTTTTAAGGTTTCCTACACGAGAATTTCTTAAAAAGTAGCATATTTCATCCTTCCCCAGAGAGTTCCTGTGCTGACATCAGGGGCTGGGCTCATCCTGCCCCTACAGTGCCCTTCCAGCAGCTCTTCCCAGTGTATCCCATTTCTCTTCCAGATCGAAGTAATGCACGACTATCAGGAAAAACGGAATTCCTTGCAATATTTTATTTCAGATAGTGATGACAGCTTAGATATACTAAAAGGGTAAGTTTTTCATCCCATTTACATCCCTCAAAATGATTTTTATTTCTGGCCAGTCCTTGCTCCACCCCTGTGTTCCTCCAACCTGACCTGGGTGTCATCTCTTGCACTTTTACCTGCTGGTTTTTAAGGAGGTCACACTCTGCTTTTGGCTCCTTGAACTGCACTGATTGCTTGTTGGTTTTTTATAGACATAAAAATAATGTGCTTCTGTTTTTCTTCTTTATTTTAGCCATGTCATAAATGAGCTTATAGAAACTGAGAGAGTGTATGTAGAGGAACTCTTCACCGTTCTGACGGTGAGTGACTTCTCCAGGTTATTCCTTATGGTTCCCCAGTGACTTGTACAAAAGAGCACCTGCCACTCTGTCAAACTAAGCAAATATGTGATGGGGCAGGTTTCTACCAGACTGTCAGATCCAAAGCTAGTCATAAATGTTCAAGTTCTCCCTACGTTTTCTTTGTTGGAGGCATCTGCAAGAACAGTTGGTGTCAGGATGAGCTTTTCATCTAGAATGAGGGAGAAGCCTTCTGTTTGTACACAAAAGCACTGGTAATTAGTCTTAGCAGTGCCTGGAAAAATGTACAAAAAGCTGTTTCTTTTAACTTCCCTAATTTCTCTTACCTTTAGGAGACAAAAGAAAGAAGTTTGTGTTTTACCCTTGGGAGGATTCTGTCTCAATACTGTGAAGTTTGAGACCGTATAAAGCACATTTCTTTAGAAAGCAGATTATAATTTCTCATACTGCCATTCTAGACACTTCTATTTTATTCCAAAATAACTCTTGCTGATGGCCAAAACAAGTTGGCTGTTAAATAGCTCCCCCCCTTTGCATTTCTCTCGCCCAGAAGCAAGCAGGATATAAATCTGTTGGACTGCAAGTAGTTACATGTAATTGCACTGCACTGATTGGGGTTTTTGTTAAGCCACACTCTCTATGATGAAGCAGTTGGCAGGTACAAAATTTATTACTGTACTCATCAAGTCTATATAGAGAAAAATGGACAGTTTTCTGAAAATAGTATTTCCTTTCAAGGGGGAAGCCTGCTTGCAGGGTTTAAATACAAATTACTAATTTATCACATACTTATCACCCACTGCATCCTCAATCAACTACAAAATGCCTGCTTAGTATAAGGAATATTGATTCCAGCCATAGTGAGTGTGAGAGATTAATTTGGAAAGCCAAAGAAGATATGCTGTACATACTAATATGTTTTTGCTGCTCATGTTAAAAGGGCCTCTGTTCTGTGCAGTCCTTGGTGACCAGCAGGGCCAACTTGAGCTGAGGACCTCTTTGCAGTGGTGGTCCTGAGCTCTGGCCATGCCTTCTCCCTACACTGCAGTTAGGATGTTTGCCATACCTGGTGATTGATTTTGCAGTGATGGGATGTTACTTTGGGGAGCTTTGCATTGTTTTCTAGTTCCACCCAACGATTTGTAGTGCAGTGGTGTCTGTCCTGGTTTGTGAGGCTTGATTTCAAGAGGCAGCTGGAACCACAGAGCACAGAATTCCTGAGGCATTGAGGAGAGCAAGACCCTGGTGCTCAGGCAAGTCTTGTACAACAGCAAAAAGCCGATTGATTTTGGTATTTGATCTAGAACTGTCTCTGCTTTGTAACGAGCCACCTCCTGCACTGGTTCTGGTGAGGTTGTGTGTAACTGCATACCCTGTACACACACACTGTCACTCTGTGACTGTGTCCCATGGCCATAGCAGCAGATGTGTTCTCCCCAGACAAGTATTCCTCCGAGACCCTGCAGTCAGGCCATAGCAAGAAGAAGGTGGCTGAGATTTGCCTTTGTTGGATTGGGAGCATCTGTGCAGTGCTGCCAGCACCACAGGAGCTGTCCCAAGCCATTCTCTGCAGTCCCATGTGACCAGGGACTGAAAGACAGGGATTTAGAGACAAAAATAAGGAAATAAAAGGGATATTGCACTTTGAACCAAAACAGATCGTAGTGAAAGTCTGTTCATGTCCCCTTTTCATCTGCCTTCGAGCAGATGCCAAGCCAAGGCCTTACCAACTGAGTGATGAGCCCTTTTTGCATCCTGCAGGGCTACAGAGCTGAGATGGATAATCCTGCCATGTTCATCCTCCTGCCTCCCGTGCTGAGGAACAGGAAGGACGTCCTCTTTGGAAACATGTCCGAGATATACGACTTCCACAACAAGTATGGTGCTGCTCTGTTCCCCTGTTTATCAGACTGATTTCCTGTGATGATGAAACACCCAAACCTTACCTTGCTCACTGCTGCATTTTTGCCCCTTCTCCCTTCTCTTGCAGAATTTTCCTGCACAGTTTGGAAAACTGCCTGGGAGCACCCGAGAGAGTGGGATGTTGTTTCCTAGACAGGGTGAGTGAATCATTTTCGCATGTAAAGCAGGCTCGAAGGCCGGTGTTTCTCCTGATTTGTCACACTCTGCAACATCTCAGTTGTGTCAGCTGAGCAAGAGGCTCCTGATCTGCAGTACCAACAGCCAGCCTGGGAGCAGAGGTGCCTGGCCAGCAGCAGGTGGGCAGAGCAGACATTGTGACCCTGCTGTGACTCCAAGCTATGCTTTTTTTTACGCAAACTCTGTCACATTCAGATATTAAAGTTGGCAGCAGAGATAAAAGCAAAATTGCAGTTTGAGTGCTTGTCTTATTTGGCTGCCCAGCAGGATTGGGTCCATGAGTGTGACTTACCTTCTGGCTTCCCTTACAGAGAGAGGATTTCCAGATGTATGAAAAGTACTGCCAGAACAAGCCCCGGTCGGAGTCCCTGTGGAGGCAGTGCTCCGAAAGCACCTTCTTCCAGGTGAGCTGTTTGTTCTACCAAGAAAGGCATTGTCCTGGGACACTCCTTTGTCCTAAACACCCTCCTCAACATCCCACAGTTTTGTTGTATTCTGTTTGCCATTGCATGAAGCTTCACAAAAATAGATATTGGAGTTTCTACTACACAAAAAGTGTAAGGCAGATCCATTCATTATATTATTTTACATGTTGGTATAAAAAAATTTCTGTAGTTTTAGGCACCTTACAACATTTTGACATGAAATCCTCAAAGTCATCAAATCCTACAGTCATGGTGTTGGAATAACTACTTATAGTTGTTGCAAAACATACTTAATCTGAATTCTGTGTTCCAGGAATGCCAAAGAAAATTAGAACACAAACTTGGGCTGGATTCCTATTTACTTAAACCAGTGCAGCGCCTGACAAAATACCAGTTACTTCTGAAGGTATTTCATATTCTGCTTTGAAGGAACATCAGCAGATAAATTAGATTTGTTTTCTAGTTTGTTTTATTTTTCAATTAAAGGTTACCTGTAAATCAGCACCAAGCTTTAGATGACATATTGCTTATCTTTGCCCTCTGAAGTGACTTTCAGTGAAGACAAATATTCATCTACCTGAGAAAGGAACAAGTGCTCTTAACAATCTGCCTTTTAGGGAGAGAAAAACTGCTTGAATATATATGACATATGGGCAGCTAATGAAAAACCTGAGCCTCATTTCCCATTTCTTACTAAGCAGGAAAACACAACAAAAAGAAATCAAATGCTGCTCTAAAAGCTGACACCATCTTTAAGGAAACTCATTAAAAAGGGGCCATCCTGCAGTGATCTGTTCCACACCTCATACTGACTGTGGTTTAGAGGGAGTCTTTTTTCCAGTGACATTTGAAAAAAGAAACTCAATGTAAATTGCTGAGCATTGGTAACTTTGGGTGAGGTGGAAAAAAATCTACGTTGTTCAAGTGCAAATACATGCTCTTCCATTTCTATTTTCAGGAGCTGCTAAAGTACAGCACAAGCTGTGATGGAGTTCAGGAACTTCAAGAAGCTCTGGTTGCAATGTTGGATTTGTTGAAGTCAGTCAACGACTCTATGCATCAGATTTCAATAACAGGATATGATGTGAGTAGGATTGGGTAATGAGAGCCCTTGAATAAGACTGGATGATGAATTGGGAGTGGACAGGATAGTGTCCCAGAATGTATGAGCTGAAAACTATTCTAGAACAGCTACAGAGTGAGTGGGATCAGGAAGCTCTTCCAGGTGACAGTCTTCCATCTGATTTCAGGGTTTTGGAAAATATCCACGTCTAAGGGTAATATCCAGAGTTGCATAGTGCCCACACTTGCCACCTTGTGGTTTTCCCGAGTATTTTGTCAGCATGCACCTTAGTGTTCTCATGGCTGACCTAATAATTCACCTGGGGTGTCGTCATAGCATTTCACATTCAACATTTCACTAGCTACTCTGTGAGGCTGATTTTGGTCCTTTCCCATGGAAGTGGTTGTCTTTCCTAGGACTTCAGGGAAGGGTGAGGGGTTGGCTTTCAAAGCTGCTGATCCCAGTCCCGGCCTCCTAGAGAATTCCATCTTCTGACACCTTAGATCAGGCTCAGATCTCACCTGCCCTCTCCCACTAAAGTAACCAGAGCCCTTGACCTGATCTTCCACATGAGCTTTTCCTATCTTCTTAGTTCTTCCAGTTTCTGACTTTCTAGACTAGCTGCAGCCCTGAGTCTAAGATCTCTGCTTGCCTCCTGGCACCATGCCATCACTCCCAAAAGATCATCTGATCCTTCCAGGAAGACCTATTCTGAGAGGGACATGCCTTGGGACAGAGCTGGCCCTGTTGCCCATCATTGTTTGGAGAGTCCTCTTACGTTTTAGTTGACATCTTTTTATTTCTTTTTTCACTTGTCCTGCCCTCACCAGGGTGACCTGAGCGAACTGGGGAAGGTATTGATGCAGGGATCTTTCAGCGTTTGGACAGGACACCGGAAAGGTCCAACAAAAATGAAGGATCTTGCCAGGTTCAAGCCAATGCAGAGGCATCTGTTCCTGTATGAGAAAGCCTTGGTCTTCTGCAAGAAGCGAGAGGAGCATGGAGATGGATATGACAAAACCTCATCTTACAGTTTCAAGCATTTTTTGAAAGTAAGGACTTTTTAGTTTTGTTTTCGAAAGTAAGGACATTTTACTTTTACATTGCCATGTGTATTGTAGACTAACAATTCTGCAGATCCAGACAGTATTTTTCCCTGATACAGCTGATTGTTTTCTGCTATCAAGGGCTGTAATGCCTCATAGGGATGAACCATGCCCATGAAATGATGTTGGTTGTATAAGCTCAGAGAATTCCCACGGCTGAGGCAGCAGCTGGTAGAGCCCGTGGACTTGGACTCACGTATGTGATGGCATGTGCCAGGGAAATGGAGCTATGGGCAAGTTCCAGGGATACAAATGTGCCTTCCCCCTTCCCCTAGTCCACTTTCTAGGAGTGTGGGTGAGGATATGAAAGTGGGGAGGCCTTTTACATCTTCTCCAGCTCACCTGGGAGAGCAAGGGGCATCTTGTGCACCCGGGAGGCCCCTTGGGCAGGGATCTGCCTGGCTGTTCCTGAGCCCTATTTCCCAGCCAGTCAGGAGGATGTAGTGATAACTCTTGTTCCTTCCCTATTGCCTTTTTCCTTCAGCAGGCTCTATCTGCAACTAAAAGGACAATTATCAGATCACAAAGTAGCCTATGGCAAAATATGAGGGGCATAAACAACAGTCCCAAGCCTCCAAATGCTAACTACTACCAATAACGTTCCCAAACTGCTCCTCTAAAAGAGACCTTCTGGCACACTGCTTGTGATGAGCACTTCTAACACCAGCATTTTTTCTCGGTACTTTACATTGTTTTTCTTAGTAAATAAAAATCCAATATGGGTATATTTTAGAATGGAAAAAAATGGGCACTTGGAAGCAGAGCAGATCGCTGCTGCAGGTCCCTGATCTCAGTGGGGTCTGGGGAGGGAGATGCCACGAGTAGTCAGAAAACAAGGTAACAATAGATAAGTCTGCTGAGCTCCAGTGCACATTACAAATTGTATACTAAAACCAAATCTCAGGCCATATGTTTAGGTACTTAATGTTTTCCCCAAACAGCATAATTTTCTTTCTGGAGAGCTTGTTTTCCCTGCAGTACTTGTTTTACCATACATGCTTTTGAAAGAACTGAAGAGGTGGTGGGGGAAAAATCCAGCTCAGAGGAGAAAATCCTGTGCTCAGGAGTCCAGGCAATGTGTCCAGGGTTTTTCTTTGCCTCAAGAGGGTTCATTTTCCAGTTGTTTGTGTTGACACACTGAGAGGTTGGAGTTAGAGAATTCATGGATGTGACAGGATTACATCTGCACACATACGTTTTGAGAATTGCTATACTGAGGGCAAAATCATGTTCTGGAGCTTGACATTTTTTTGATCCATGATCACAGAATCACAGAAATCACTTGGAAAAGACCTCTAAGATCATTACTAGCACTGCCAAGTCCACCACTAAATCCTATTGCTAAATATCAGGAAATTATTTTTCTTTGCAATGTTTTTTGAGGATTCAGAATTGAAACAAGCTGTCGGGTAGAAGCTGCGTAATGGAGCATCTGTAAAACAAACAAACAAAAGAGAACCCCTCAGGATAATATTTTGCATACTTTGTAAAATATCCAGTGGTAAATACCTCTTCAGCTGAGGTTCAGTGACTTAAGAGGATGCAGGTTACTGCAATGCCAGGTAAATCAGCCTGCCTGGTGCCACGTGGAAGCCGATGCAGAGGAACACCATCCCAGAGCTTTGCTCTAGCCCACCTCAGTCTGCATTGCAGCAATTCAACAGCTGAGAGACAGTAAATCCTGGTCAGAGGGAGGAAATAGAATTTCAAAATCCACTAACTTGAATGAACAGACCTTAAATCTGTCTATTCCTAGCACTTTTTCTTCGCCTCATCACAGTAGATCATCTAAAATTTCTAATATCTTGATGCCTGGGCTGTTTTGTGGGAGACTCTGTATAAATTGTCAATAAACAAGATGCACAGAACTGGGAACTGCAGCAACTGGATGAGGTGCTCTCTAGTCTGCCCTTCCAAAAGCTTTCATCTATTTGAAGTTTTGAGTTTTTAAAGTTTTCATAAAATCAGAATGGAGCCTCTTCCAACTTCCTAAGACATTGTGACATCTTGATAGGACAAGGGGAAATGGCCTCAAGTTGCATCAGGGAGGTTCAGGTTGGATATAAGGTAAAATTTCTTCATTGAAAAAGTGGTCAGACATTGGAACAGGCTGCCCAGGGCAGTGGTGGAGTCACCATTCCTGGAGGGATTTAAAAGATGAGTAGAGTGGCACTTGGGCATGGTTTAGTGGTGGACTTGGCAGTGCTGGGGGCATGTTTGGACTCGATGTTCTTAGAGGTCTTTTCCAACCTAAGTGTTTCTATGATTCTAAGAGCAATTTGCTTCCTGTTGCCTGAGGTTTCTCATAGTCACTGAAAATGGGCACCAGCATTTGAAAAAGTTGGAACAGAACATTCGTCCTTGTGACCTAATCTGTAAATCATCATAGTCTTTCAGACCAAAAGATCTGAGGGTGCACATATTATCAAGCAGGACCAGCAACGTTAAACAGATGCTATTTCTAAGGCTTCATTTGTGTTTATACTGGATTTATCTAACCCAGTCTGCGTGAATAATTTATGATAGATGATACCATTATTATTACATCTGTTTCAAAACACACAAGACGAGCTATTTTTGACCATCCTTTGTTCAGCGATAAATTGCCAGCAAACTCTGCTTTAAGTGAGAGGATGGTTTATGTGATATCAGGTATTAAAACATTTTTCATCTTCATGGCATGTTCAGCAGGGGGGGTCAGAGGTCTCCTGTTGCTGAAGAATTTCTTGATTTCTAATCATAGTTTGAGCTGCTCATTCAGGTGCGTCACAATGTGCAGATCCTGAACCATTTGGGCCCTTGGTATTTTCATCCAAATTATCAAAAGTGGTCAGTGATAATGGGTACTCAAGTACAGCAGCATTCAGCTTCCAGCCTGTGTGTGTCCTGAAAGCCATATTTGTGGCACCTCAGGCTGAATATCCAAAAATTTATCCTTCTTTTGGAAACCTTGGGGTAATATCACAACTACAGGGATGGCAAGGGACCAAAAGACATTGAATTGAAACTCCTAAAGGAGCTAAGGGCTTCACAATGGGGTTTAATTATCACTGACAGAGGAGAACAGAACTTAGTGCGTAAATAAAGAATAATATGGCAGAAATAATGTGTCATGTATTTATAAAGCTTCATATCCCTCATCTGCAAAATTCCATGCTGAAAGAGGTATGAGATGATGCTTTGGTTAGTTCCAGTGGTTCCCAAAATGAAAAGTTCCCTAAGGTCCATTGATTGGTTTTGGAAAGCTTAACCTAATGCAGCAAGCTGACAGAAAGTCTGGGGGATAAGTCGGATAATGACTTTCAGTTGCTACTGAAATTAAAATTGATGAAATGTGTTAAATTGGGCAAAAATAGGTTTAGCATGCTGCCAAAAGGCTGGATTCCTAGGGAAGGGGGAGAGATTTGTAGTATGTTTAAGTGTTTAGTTTCTTTTGGTTTTGCAGATGAATGCAGTTGGAATAACTGAGAATGTGAAAGGAGATCATCGGAAATTTGAGATCTGGTACAGTGGGCGAGAAGAGGTCTATGTTGTGCAGGTTTGTAGCTTCAAAAATCTGGATATTTGTGCATCCTCATAGCATGTTAAGAGAATGTGTCCCATTGGTCTTGATGGGATTGTCAGGCATTTCTTCTCTCTCTTTGCCCACGTCAGTGCTCACAGATCTGTCCCAGTGACTGGTCCTTGGTGTCCATTCCAGAACTGTAAAAGTCACTTAAAAATAGAGACAAAATTGCCCCTTGGAAATAGAGCCTTTTATTTCAGATGAAATCTCAAATAGACCTGTAATTGAATAAAAGATTTTACTGTGCTTAATTCCTTATGTGAGTTGAGCTGGAAATGGGCCCAGTGCTTTGATGGACACAGACCACATCTGCTCCTGCACAATTAAGATGTCAGAGCTGGTCCCTGAGTAAAGGCTTAGCTTCTGTCCTATTATTCCCAGTAGTCTTTTCACTCATCTACAGAATAGTAGCCCCACTGACCTGATTTCTTCTTGATTTTTTTTTTTCATTTGTAGCATCTTGAATTGAAATTTCTGATGGAGAGAAGTTTGCCTAACAGGCTGTTCAGGGGAAAACTCATTATGAGTATATTGTCAGTTGATTTTTTTTTAATTAGACTTCTGCCTAGCTTTTTTTCTGTGTGTTATTATGCAGTAACCAACTTAAATTCATAAAGCAAGAGTATGTAGCCAAGTATACATATATTTAAAAGGCAGTTTTGGCCCTTTAGGTACTTTTTAAAGTGGTATTTGGTATTTTACAAAAAAGATAAGATGCATGCACACATGTGCCTTTGCTTGCACTCCTTGCATTGTACTGATAGCTCTACAATTTCCACCGTGCTTTGCCTGGATGTAATGGGAATTATGAATTTTAAAAGATCAAGAGTTTAAAATGAAGTGGTGGCTTTGGAAAAATGAGGATTTCAGATAATTACAACATAGAAAAGTAAGATTTTATTCTTATATCTTAATTCAAAATTCCTAAAGTTTTCTCTTCTTCCAGGCCCAAACAGTAGATCTGAAGATGGCATGGTTGAATGAAATAAGAAAAATTTTGTTTAAGCAGCAGGAGCTTATAAAAGGTACCTTTGATCAATATCTCTGGCATTCACTCTGCAGCAGAACCTTTCCTATTTTCACATTGCTAATCTTCAAATCCACTAATTCTCACTGGAGAATTGATTTGCAGAAGCCTGGTAGCAAAATACTGGAGTGAGGCCTTACATTACAGGGAAATAACATAACTTGGAGCGGTAAAGGCCAGGTGCTCATGTGAAAATTAATTACAGAAGTACATTTTTTTGGCCATCATTACCCTGGGGATTATTTCACATTTCTTATCATAGGCTTAATTCAACAAGATACATAACAGACGCCTAATTTTAAGCGTATTATGGTCTTCAGTAGCATGCTCAATATTGGATTTGTGCTAACATGCCATCTTAATCATAACTAAGTCTGTGCTTTGCAAGAGTCCATAGGTCTGTTTTTCTCTGAAGAGAAATCAATAGGGTTGTAAAAAAGGTGTAATTTTTAAAGTAATGCATCAAGTGTGACAGTTACTAATAAAAAATGGATTTTAAGCTGGTGTTTGACCTCCTTGCAGTAGAGAAGCAGCAGCCTGGCTCGGGCACGGACCAGATCCCGCTCTCCTCCCAGCTGAGTGATGGGTGAGTGCTCCCTGGGGTACCCATTTTCTCCCTATTACTGCCTAAGACCTCTGGGGAGGGGACAGGAGGGACGTGCTGCCACTCACCCTTTGGTGGCAGTGGTCTGGGGGCAGGGTCTGCGAGGGGCTCCCTCGAGCCTGGCAGCACAGCCTGAGCTGCAGCTCCTTTGCAAATTCAGACAAAGATCAAAACCAGTGCTCAAATTCAGGGGTAGAGATACTGCAGCAACTTTATTTCCCCAAAAAAAATTAAAACCAGGCACTGAAGTTCTTAATCTTTCTAGAAACACAGATTAAGGGGTACCAGTATTATTTCTGACTTCATTTTACAAAACCTAGTGGAGCTCGCGTTCATTCATAAAGTAAAACTAAGATTTACTTCTTTATTTTTTTTAACCATTCAGAAAGCAGCAAAGAGCCTCCGTAAGCTCAGAAGAGAACGACTCAGAGCGCACCAGCCCGGTGATGTTGGACAGTGGGCTCGTGTCCCCCCAGAACAAGCCCCACCGAAGTACAGACCCTTCCCCTCCCTTCAGGGCATGCTTTGCAGGTGCTGTGGTTCCCCCAGACTGAGCTGCACATTGTCTTTCAGGCTGGCCAGGAATGTCTCAGTCCCTGGAAATCTGTGAGGGGCTGGAGGAGTGGTCGGGTAACCAGTACCTCTCCAACTGCTCGGACACCGAAGAGGAGGATGGCAACCAGCTGGTCAGTAGATATGCAATAGTCTCAAAGCTTGAGGTGCTGCCATTTTCAGTCATCTTGCTTTGTTTGTCTTCACTGGATAACAGATGTATCTTGTCCACATCTCTCAGAATTTCCATATCTCAATATGGGGAATGAGGAGATGTCTCAGCCAGAGTTTCTTGAAAGAATTTTAATTAATGTAGCTGATATGGCTCTGTCACGTTCCCTGTGGCAGTCAGAAATAACAGCTGCGTGATATGAAATGCAGCTAAATAAGATAAGTTTTTCATTCTGCCACAGTCTCCAGGAAAATACAAAGCCCTTGCAGACTGCAAGAGGAGAGGATCAGAGGATCTGCTGGTGAAAAACGGGGATGAAATCCAGCTCGTGCATGAAGATGGTGAGGGACAGTGGTAGGTATTTTAGGACTACTTTGCTTTATCTCTAAGAGCCTGCAAGGCATTCCCTTGAAATGTTGCTTGCCTGGTGATACACCCATTGCAGCTTCTGATTAAGTTTTAGACTATTCCAGAAAGCTGGAGAATTCATTTTCTTGCCAAGACTAGATACAATCCTGGGAAAACATGTCAGGACTTCCCTTGCCATGAGTGTCTGGGTGAGGTGTGTTTTACCAATATCTTCACAGCCCCTCTTCCCACTTTTCAGATGGTGCTTTGAGTGCGAGCCCTTTGCACACCCCAGACCAGCTCCTGGCTCTGTTCCTCTGGGCTTATTAATGGCAATATTGAGTAAATGCAAGACATTTTCCTCCCTCAAACAGCTGTACAAGTGTTAAACTGATTGATGACTGTGGACCATCTTTGTTGTATTTAAAAATGTGGCTCTCAAGATTACACCTTACAGCTGGTCCTCTCCTTATGTCTGGGAGCATCACCTGGGGAATGACCAATCCCAGGCTCCTGCCTGTTGAACCATTAGAACCTCCTTGTCTGGGAGGGCAGCATGTCCTCTCCTAAGATTTACAGCAATTTGGCTGGGATTCCTGGCTGTTTCTCCTTTCCAGGTGGATTCTGACTAGCTCTCATCAGCCAGCCTGGGGTCTCAGTAGGAGAGAGAGCAGTGTGCTAATGCCTTTTCTGGGGTGTGGGAAGTGGGGTTTGAGCAGGAACCTGGATCAGATTTGGGCAGGCACTAGCCCATAGATTCACAGATGTGAATGCCCCATGGAGGATTCCTGTCTGACAGCTACAGCCCTTGCACTTCAAGGGAAATTCAAATAGGATAAAATAGAATATTTCAGTTGGAAGGGATCTGCAATGATCATCTACTCCTGATGAATTTTGCAAAATTCAGTTTGTTGTTAGCAAAAGCAAGATGCAAATCATCTCAGGTTTACTGAATGTTCACCTCTCCTGGGGATTTCAACCAGTGCCAGTCAGAGATTTCTCACACCAAACCTTTCTGTTCGTACAAATTTTACTCCATGAGTGAGACAGAGAGATGTCATTTATGAGTATTTCCAGCTGCCTAAGTTTTGGCTTTAATTTACTTATAGTACCCTGATTAAATTCATCCTACCAGTCTGAATAGCAGAAGAATGAGGAAAGTAATTGCCCTTGGCTCCATCAGTACCCAGTTTTCCTCACTGGCATCTCTGGAGGTCTCAGGCAGGATGAGGAGAGAGAGAGAGTCCTGTTCTTCTCCACTGACTAGAGAGCTGCCCAAGGCAGATGTGATCCCCATGTAGGTTTTTTAATTAGGTTCCTAAGTTTAGGTGGGAAGAATACTTTAAATGCACGCCCAGCTCCTGTGAAAATGCTTCCCTGGTTTGAATGAATTGTTGGTTTCACTCCCAGTTGTGTAGAGTGTGACTGCATCAAACTGCTCCTCAGTTGGTTAGTTTCTTTTACTAATGCTGTTGTCATTCAAAGGTTGGTGAAAAACCTAAACAGAAGAAAAGAAGGCTGGATTCCTGTCCACAGTCTGCAGATAGTAGTCGGTGACTGCAGATTTCGGAATGCCAAAGTTGCAGGTATTATGTAGCACGCCTAGCAGAAATATTTCATATCTCAAATCAGGTCTTTTAAGCCATTTGCATTACACTTGATGTACTAAATCTGGCTGCATATGCCTCTGCAGGAAAAATAGAAAAGCAAGCAGCTACTCCAAAAAGCCTGTAAAAGTAGTAAATTAAGCTTTCTTTTTTTGTTTCTTAACACCTTAAGACATTTGTGAGACTTTAGGCTCTAGTAAATTAAAACCAAGCATTTAAAAATGTAGATTTCTTTGCAAGAGCACTGGGTAGAAGATCCAGGAGAAGAGATGGAGTCTGACCAGGGATTCCCGTGACTGTTTTGCCTACTCGCTGCTGTAGCCCAAACCCCGTGTGAACCCAGGCAAAATCTCCTCCTGCTGCAAAAGACACTCTGGCCTGACCCCCAACACTCTAAAGGCAATACTTCATCCCTGCAGCCTCACTCCTGCCCTCATTGCTGCCTGCTGGTTAATCCACCCTTAGATAAATTTTATAATAAACAGGTTACCAGCTTTTGGCCGAAGGCTTCTAGTCTCAAAAACCATACTTCACATTTTCTAGCTGGAAATGTACATAGAAGTAGGTAGGGAAGCATAACAGATGACACAAGAAAATGCCTTAAGAGCAGCCTGTCGCCCTTGCCATGTATGCAGCATCACCACTCCATGTGTTGCCTCATCACCATGCTGTTCACTGGAAATGGGAGACCAGGGTTTGAGATGGGAACAGCTCAGGAAACCCACATAGACTTAGTCCACTTTAAAAAAAATAAAAATGGAAAAGAATACACTAGTTATGACCATATGAAGCAAATTTTACAAGAAGATTTCTCTTTAAATACTTCCTTTTTGTCAAAACCTATTATTTTGATGAACACGAAGGAAGCCTTCTGAAAAGCTTAAAATTCCAGACAGCTCTTGATGGTTTTCCATATATTTCAGTAAAATCCTTCCTATACAGGAAGGTATCTTTTTATCCCCTTTGTTAAAAGGCAGTCAAATCTCACAGGTTGGAGATTTTTATGGACTTTATGTAAAGGGTAGTTTGCTAACCAGTGTTCAAATTTTGCTGGCACCCTGTTGTCAAGATGAAGTTATGTCTACCTTGATCTTCTCTGCATGTACAGCTATCCCATCTCACCATGTTCTGTGCAGGAGGGTTCTCCAGCTGTGAATGCAACTCAAAAACAGGGTGCTGGCAAACTCTGAACCTTGGTTTGCTTTGTCAGTGGTCATATCCCTGAAAGCCTAGAGACTCACAGCTCCAGACTGGTTTACAAAGTTACTGAGTACAAACTAAGGAGAATTTCACAAGGTGAAATCACAGAAAGCTCCTCCTGTGAGTCCCACACCACTGCCCAGGTGCTTTACAGTCGTGCCCCAGGGTTTAGTTGCAGCACTGAGGCTCTGTTTTCCCTGTGAAGGTAATTCTGTTCTCTTTTGCTGTTGCTGATCATGCCTGCAGTCTCAAGGCATGATTCTAATTTTACGTGCACTCCAGGCAATATTGTGGGATGATGTAGGATGTTTCCATGCTATTTCCTGGAGCTATTCCTAGAGCTTTTCGATTGCAGAATGATGTAGGATGTTTTCTTGCTATTTCCTAGAGCTATTCCTAGAGCTTTTCAGCAACATGTCCTTATAGCCATGAGCAAATTTCACTCTGACTCCTCAGGAATGCAGTCTGGATTGGGCTCTTTTCTGCTTCTTCAGAAGATGGAGCTCTTGCTCCAGTATAGCACAGGGAGAATTAGACAGCCAAGTTTGTAGAGCAAACTAGGGGCAGGAGGGAGCACTGGGACCCTCTTGTTCAGCTGCTTGTGCTGAAATGCTGTTTTGCATGTAAGCAGGGTAAACATGATTAACATGTTGTGGGGTCCCCCAGAGCTTAGAGCATTCTGGAGTCACTTCAGCACTGGGGGAGAGGCAGTCCTGGCCCTTCACGGTGGCATTGCATCTGTTTTTGTCCCAGGTGCCCCTAATAAATAAAAATATATCTCTAATCACAGAATTTCATAACAGAATTAATACAAATCTGGGTTTGAGAATGTTTTTTCAGTGCAAAGCCTTTAGCTGAATAGATTACATGGTTCCCTTACCTTCATGCATTTTTTTTTCTTAAATTTATGCTGTGGCCCTAAAAAAACCTCCCACCACAGGATGTCTGAATTTGTGGGTGGCATCCCTGTCCTTGGCAGGGGGTTGGTACCAGATGATCATTAAGGTCCCTTCCAACCCAAACCATTCTGTGAATCTATAATTCTGTCATTTAAGGAGGAAACCTGTTCTACACACCAGACCCTCTCCTAGTTTGCTTTAACACACCACTTGCCAAATTATCTCTTCCAAGCCTTAAGGGGATCCCCTGTGTGTGCTCTTCATGCCATAAAGCTGAGCAAAGGTTTCCCCCGCTGGCAGTGCCTGAAGGACCGAGCTTGCATGTCCTCTGCTCCTGCTGGCCAGGGTGCTGGGGATCATCCTCTTTACTGTGGTGAGCTTGAGGCAACCCTTTTGTGGCTCAAATCTGCCCGACCAGGGTATTTATTGTATGTGGCTGAACTCTTGAGCTCTCGCGGGCTGGCACGAGCATGTTGGCTGAACTGTGCAAGTTTTGTCTAAGTTCTGTTAAAAATGCCACTGGTAGTTTGCAGATGCAGCGCAGCTGTTTGCACTATCACTCATGCACTTTAATGATTGCAGCCACAGGCTTTTGTATTTATGCAGGGTCCATTAAAGGCAATGCTGATTCCTTTCTGGCCTTTAAAACGTAAAGTAGGGTCTCCTCCCACGACCTGAGATCCCAACCAGCTTCACTGAACAGATATTTAGTAACACCATAGAAAACCATTTTGAGCCTGAGAAAATAAGGAGTCTATAGGAGATATCAGCTGGCCTTGCTGTGATAATGAAGTGATAGATGATGGAAATGAGTCAAACCCTGTGGTCCTGCCTTAGTCAAGGCTCTCACTGAAGCCAGTGGGAGTTCAGCTTTTAGGGAGAACTGCAGGAGTTCACTTATTTTTTTTATATTATACAAATGTTACATGATTACAGGGAACAATGTATTTCTTGGAATCAGATGCTTTAATATTAACATCATTCTCCATTACTTTATAGATGCTGGCCTGTGTAACACGAGAAAGTTTAGTTCCCCTTGAATTAAGGGTGAACTAGTAGCATCCTATTTTCGATGCTCTTTGGAAGCTTTCAACTAAGTGTTACAGAGAAATAGCACAATAGTTGGAGTTGTCCTGTACTATTCATCACATTCACAGACCTCCACAGCTTCATCTGCACTGAACAGGACTGGGGTCCTAAGCAGCTTCTCATACTCATAAAGGAAGCCATTCTCTGCTCTTTCTTTTTTTTCACCTGTGGAAAGTACGGTATTTTATTAATTTTACCTGCTGCTTTTCCATGACATCCATCATGTTTCATCAGAGAAGTACACTACAGTTTCCTGACACTTTGTTTAGATGCTTGAAACTTCCTCTACAGGTTAAAGTAGGCTTTGCCTACTCGTTAGCTGACAACTGTTGAAGCTGCAAATAAAAGAGTTGAGTTTTGGTAAACCAAAAAAAAAAAAAAACAAACACAAAAACCAAACAAAGAAACTGTATGTCCTGCTTGATTGATTTTATGGGTGGGTTTTTCTTAAATATCTACTTCAGCTATGTGAATGTAATGTTCTGTAAGAGCATCATCTGGCTGACTCACATGTGAAGATGCAATAACGTTAAAGATCCTCTTTTTGCACTTAGGGTCTGACTCCAAGCTCATTGCAGTCAGTCCCCTTGATTTCAGTGAAGTTTGGATCAGGTCAAACTGACAACTCAGGGTTGTCACCAATCACTTAGGGTCCCAAAGTGTCCCAAGGCTGAAACCTGTATCTAGCAAGTGTTGAAGTTTACATTAATGTATGTACTTTTGGAACACGTGCCATAAATCCAAGTTAAATGTCCATGTTTGCACTAAGGATGTTCTTGTGATAAGACTGTACTTTTCAGCAACTTTAACAATAATGTATCTGTTGAATTTTTGAGAAAGGAAAAAGAATGTTGAACACTTATAATTTAATTTTGTGTTTCTTTGTCTAGTTTTGCTTTTGTAGAACATAGGTAGGTACAGGTGGTTTGAACTTTTGAGCAGATGTGTGCAAAGAGCACCTGACTGAGTGGAGAGCAGGGTTAATAGTGTGCATGCAGTAGTGAATTTGCTCTGTCCCATCCAAATGAAATGTTTATGCTGTGGACTAAAGGGGGACCTTTATGACTTTTATTTGTGAACCAGTTCTTAAACACAGTCCTAAGTTAAAACATACTGGGGTTTGTTTTGGGGTTTTTGTGACCATTTTTGTATGGAGGAATGGCTGTGGTTGCCTGGGGGTTCCCCATCACACAGTGGGCATTTCTCCACTTTGGGTAGCTGTTATTGCAGGTAACCCCCACACACCCTCCAAAAACGTGACGAGCTGAGTCTGAACTGAGCAGCACCACAAGACCTAGAAAAATACCAATATCCTTCAGCCACTTGGCAATCACAGCAGAGGGGTTTTAAGCCACTGAAAGTTCTTTTCATTTACTTTAAAATTGGTCACAATGCACTTGTTAGGTGGAAAAATAGGAGTGTCTTAAGTTACTGTCGGGGCTGTTTATAGTGGTAACAATTCTTGTGGTAACAGTACACATTTTGAGGTACAACTGTAAATATTTGTCTCAAACATAGCACACATTGCATATTAAATGGTTTTAATCCTTTTTGTCTTCCATAGTTTTAAATCTATGCTTTTATTAATTTATGAGGTTGATAAGTTCTGCGAATCTGAATGTACAGTCTGAGGTTTTTAACATTTAAAACTTTGCACACGACATGGTATGTTACCCTGAGTATGCTGTTGAACTAGGCTCTTCATGTATATGTATAAATTACAGTAGAGAATTTTCTCTGACTGCAAGTTTAAATGAACTATATTGTATATGTACCTGTAAAAAAATGTGTTAAATCTATATTTAAAGATTAAAAACTTGTTAAATAAATCCATATGAGAACATGCAATTCTGTTCAAAGATGCCTCTGCTATAATTCTAGAGAAAAAAGAATTCCCAGAGTGTTGGTTTTCATTTCTTTGGAACAACTAAAACCTTCTTATATGCATTTTGATTTTAAGGTAAATCAGTGGCAGATGATCCGATTAGCTTCTTTCTGGATGTAGTGGCAATGCAATTGTCTGAAAGAGCAGCTTCTGAAATCCCACTCTGGCTCAGGGTGTCTCCATCCCCAGCCTCCTCTGCATTCCAGTATGGCTCAGGACATCTCCATCCGCAGCCTTCCCTTCATTCCAGCGCTGGGCAGCTCTACCAGGAGGGACCTCTGGGCTGAGGACCACAGGGCTGTGCTCATGGGTGGGTCCATGGGGGCTCTGTGGGCAACAACAGCCCTTTTCCAGGTGCCAGGGAAGTGGTCTTGGGGACATATCTTTCCATCAGGGAGGGAGGAGACCCTTGTCAGTGGGTTCTGCCTCTAGGGATGTGCTGGTATCCCATGCATGGTGCCTGCAGGGTGGTAAAGCCTGTGCATGAGCTGCCCACACCGGGCATCCTAGTGCAGTTCCCAAAGGCCATGCTGTTTCCCCATGTACCTCTGGATTTTTCTGTGGAAAGAGATACAAGGTGCAGCAGCCCTGATCAGAGGTAAACCTCCCTTCCTCTGGGATTATTCCCTTCTCTTGAAGCTAGGAATTGAATTAAACCCACCTGAATCACCCTGACAAAGGACCTCTGCTAAGCATCACCTTTGCCTTGAATGCCACCTCCCTTTTCCTGTGCCTCAGTGCCAGTGCCCACCCTGGGCATGGGGCAGGTGTCTCCCAGGGAACTGTCTGCCTCTGGGGTGTCCCAAGCTGCCTGCCCTCAGGGGACCTCCCACAAGCTTGTTTGGGGAGGGCAGCACACACTCCCCATCACTAAAGCAGTGCTTGTTGCTGCAGTCTCTAATTTAACATGATTAATATAAACACCAGGACAGGTAATGAGCACTAAGCAGTTCTCTTTATAATCCTAACATGGCTCAGCAGAAATCATTAGCATAAAGCCCACCACTACCTTTAGATGAGTTTTATACATATTTTAGGTCATCTTTGCAGTCAATTTTATGCTGTTCTAAAGCAGGAGGAGCATTTCCTGCTGCCTGTGATCCACTTCAGCCTGGCTCATGTGAAAACACCTGGCCAAGAGCAATGTGGGTGCCCTGCTGTGCGTGTTCACCTCCCTCATGGGCTCCTCCAGCTGGGTTGATGGTGGGTGCTGGTGTCTGAGGCACCTGTGCCTGTTGGGCTTCCCTTGCTCACAGTGCTGTGTGACAGCTCTGGGCAATGTTGGTGGCATGGTGGCCCAGGGCACATGTGAGCCATGCCCCAGCTCATCCACACCAACCTCTGCATTCAGGATTTGGGAACTTACACCACCTCAGCAGTGCGAGAGCGTTCAGGAATACAGTCATGGACCACTAAAAGGCTTTTTACTTCTTTATTACCACATTTTCATTGTGTTCTCTTAACTTTTGCCTTCCAAGAGCAGAAGTTATTTCATTTGGAAATGTTTATTAAACTGCAATGATTTCTCAAAAACATGGAGATTGCTATGGGTCTCTCTTCACTTAACCAGTCCATCCCCCAGCACGGTGTAGCCTCCCCAGCACACCATAACACTCCTTCGGGTTAGGCCAGCTTCGTGTTTTGCTTTATCCACTTCACATACTTGGAGACCCTGGTGTAAATGCCATATTTGCCTGGCTTGGCACATTCCTCACCCCAACTGGTGATCCCTGTGAGAAACCAGGTGCCCTCGATCTCACTGGTGTAGGGCCCCCCGCTGTCCCCCTCGCAGGTGTCCCTGCCCCCGGACGGGTAGCCTGCACAGAACATGTTCTGCAGGATGGTGGTGGAGCTGCTCTTGAGGCAGGTCGGCCGGTCAACAAAGGGCACCTTGACGACCTGAAGGGTGGTGGCCGGCCGGCCGCGGTACTGCAGGCGGCCCCAGCCGCTCACCGTCCCCGTCCCCTGCTTCAGCAGGGCATTGGTGAACTCGCGGCTGCCGAGGCAGATGGGGGTGACGTAGCTGTTGAAAACGAGGGGCTCGTCCAGCTCCAGGAGGGCAATGTCGTTGTGGTACTCGTTGATGGAGCTGTCATACGTGGGGTGGGGAAAGGCTTTCACCACTTTACGCCGCTGCTCTGTGTGGTCATCCTCCTGAGTGTTGTGTTCACCTGCAGAGACAAGTGTGACTTGGGCTCGATCCCTCAGTGATCATGTCCTGGCAAGACCATGCCAACGCAATTCCAGCCCAGACAAGTGGCTGCAGAGCTGAGCCCTCGGATTGCTGGGAGACTGATACTGGCCAAGCTGCTTGCTCCTTGTCAAAGGATGCTGGAGGTCTCCTCACGGCAGCGCCTCCTCTGTCCCTGCAGCTGGCAGAACCTGAACCCATAGGCGCGACACCGGGCACACATGGCCAGTCATGTGCCAGAGATCCAGATGCTTTACCAGAGTTAGTGGCAATGTGGCTGTTTGGGGGATTTAGCACTCTCAAAGAAGGGATGTTGTTCTTGCATCAAAGGGAACAAAGCCCGTTGATGAAAAATCTCGGTTTAAAATAAATAATTTATTAGTAAAAGAAACCTGACCTTCCCTTTTGTAACACCACACATGCACTGTGCAGAATGGGGTGCAGGAGGCTACAAAATGCCACATCCTGGTGCTCACAGGTGCCCGAGTTTCCACCGCCCGACCGAAGCTCAGCTGCTCGCAATCACTGCCGGCAGCTTCAGGTTCCTGTAATTGAGTTGCTGGCAGTCTGTTACCACCCCTCCCGGCTTGTGTAACAGGTAGAGGAAAGGGAAAATGTTCTGTGGTCTCGGGTCGGCGAATGGGCAGCTCTGGGTCTGCCTGTAGCCGTATCCCTTCTCCCGTCTGCGTGCTGCCTCTGCTGAAGGCTGGAGAGAGCAGGATGACTTTTCCCGATTGCTTTCTCGCAGCCCCAGAGGCGCAGGGTGCTTTTAACCCCTGCTGCGGGGTTTCTACACGCTCTGCTGTGATCTCCAGAATATACCATCTCCTCTAAACAATATCTGCAGCACTGCTGGCCCTGTCTGTGTCCTGTGCCTGCTGCGGCTGCCTGCGAGGAGCAGCACGGAGCCTGCGAGAGAGGTGAGCTGCATTTTTGCAGTCACGCCAGTGCTGGCGAAGGTGGGAGGGGTGGCTGGTGCTGCCGACGTGCTCTGGGAGGGTTTTTTTTGCGGCAGAGTGTGAATATTAGCTCTCTTTCAGACTGTGTTTGTACAGTGTAAATGCAAGACAGATGTGGGGGAGACTTTCAGATGGTTTTTCTTACATTACGGCTGCTTGCTACTACTGGGGACCTAAAAATATGCTTCAGAGATGAAAGTGGAGTGGCAAAGATGCACAGGGGAGGGAAATGCTTCTCCCACCTCCTGCTATAGATTTTTGGGCCTCCTAAGATATTATGTACAAAGCACGAAGGGATGTGAAGAACTCTGATGTTGCCTGTGCTGTGTACACGGTGCAGGCACAAATTCA